CCTTCCTATTGGGCTAAGCAACTGCACCAGTTTGAATTGGATTTCATTGTCAAACAACAAGTTGAGCGGTGAGATTCCCGGGTGGATTGGGAAGCTTACAAAACTTGCAATACTCAAACTCAGTAACAACTCATTCTATGGAAACATTCCTCCGGAGCTCGGTGACTGTAAGAGCTTGATATGGTTGGATCTCAATACCAACTTCTTCAATGGTACAATCCCTCCTGCGCTTTTCAAACAATCTGGCAACATTGCAGTGAATTTTATCGTTTCCAAAACGTATGCATATATCAAGAATGATGGTAGCAAAGAGTGCCATGGAGCAGGGAATTTGCTCGAGTTTGCGGGGATCAGAGACGACCAACTGAAAAGGATTTCGACAAGAAATCCTTGCAACTTCACTAGAGTGTACAGAGGTATGATCCAACCAACGTTTAACCACAATGGGTCTATGATTTTTCTTGATCTTTCACATAATTTTTTATCCGGTAGCATTCCCAAAGAGATCGGGAAGATGTACTATCTCTATATTTTGAATTTGGGCCATAACAACATATCTGGTTCAATCCCAGAAGAGCTTGGAAAATTGAGAAGCGTTAACATTCTTGATCTCTCTAGCAATATTCTTGAGGGAACTATTCCACAGGCTCTGACTGGCCTTTCCTTGCTCATGGAGATTGATCTATCAAACAACCATTTATCTGGAATGATTCCAGATTCGGGTCAATTTGAGACATTCCCTGCCTACAGATTCATCAACAATTCAGGCCTCTGTGGCTACCCTTTATCTCCATGTGGCGGAGCTTCTGGGCCAAATGCAAATGCGCATCAAAAGTCTCATCGGCGACAAGCATCCCTGGTGGGCAGTGTGGCAATGGGATTGCTCTTCTCCCTTTTCTGCATCTTCGGTTTGCTTATTGTTGCCATTGAAACCAAGAAGAGGCGAAAAAAGAAGGATTCAGCCCTTGATGTTTATATCGACAGTCGTAACCAATCAGGCACTGTCAATGGCTGGAAGCTACCTGGCACTAAGGAAGCGTTAAGTATCAACCTTGCCACATTTGAGAAGCCCCTTCAAAAGCTCACTTTTGCAGACCTTCTTGAGGCCACCAATGGTTTCCATGACGACAGCCTTATAGGCTCTGGTGGTTTTGGTGATGTATACAAGGCCAAACTGAAAGATGGCAGCATTGTAGCCATCAAGAAATTGATACATATCAGCGGACAGGGTGATCGTGAATTCACTGCTGAAATGGAAACAATAGGGAAGATCAAACACCGAAACCTTGTTCCCCTCCTTGGATACTGCAAAGTAGGAGAAGAACGGCTTTTGGTTTATGAGTACATGAAGTATGGAAGCTTAGATGATGTTTTACATGAGCCAAAGAAAGCTGGCATCAAGCTGAACTGGGCTGCAAGGAGGAAAATTGCGATTGGATCTGCGAGGGGACTGGCCTTTCTTCACCACAGTTGCATCCCACACATCATTCACAGGGACATGAAATCGAGCAACGTGCTGCTCGATGAAAATTTGGAAGCCAGAGTCTCCGATTTTGGAATGGCAAGGCTTATGAGTGTAATGGACACCCATTTGAGCGTGAGCACTCTAGCAGGCACACCTGGTTATGTCCCACCTGAATACTACCAGAGCTTCAGATGTTCTACGAAAGGTGATGTTTATAGTTATGGTGTAGTATTGCTTGAGCTGCTGACAGGAAAGCGTCCTACAGATTCAGCAGATTTTGGTGACAATAATCTTGTGGGTTGGGTAAAACAACATGCAAAATTGAAAATAAGTGATGTTTTTGATCCAGAGCTCATGAAAGAGGACGCGAGCCTTGAGATTGAGCTTTTACAGCATTTAAAGGTAGCTTGTGCTTGTTTGGAGGATAGGCCATGGCGGCGTCCCACAATGATTCAAGTCATGGCAATGTTCAAGGAAATCCAAACAGGGTCTGGGATTGACTCTCAATCAACCATAGCTACCGAGGATGGAGGTTTTGGTGCAGTTGAAATGGTAGAGATGAGCATAAAAGAAGTCCCTGAAAGCAAGCAGTAGCCCAAAAAGCCAAGCCAATTTTCAAGAGAATTCTTTGGAAGAAAGAAGAAACAAGGTGGAGATGATACTTTCAGCTCCCCCAATTTTTTTCCCTCTTCTTTACAACTTCAAATGCTGTGAAGCTGCCTGTTTTGCTGTACCATTTAATGTATGTAATCTTGTTATTTATACATAGAAGGTTGTTTAACTTGTGATAAATGTGTATATAAACAGCTTCAGTTGTTATGCTGCTTAAATTTGGTTCTCAGTTTTTATTTTTTTCTTTTATAAGAGAGCATTTGGATTCAGATCAAATCCTCCAAAAGAAGCTGTTGCATCTCTCTGACCTCATTGATGATGACATAGTGGAGGGGTTTTTTTGGCCCTTTCCTCAGACTTCAGTCTACCTGATTTGTTTTCATTCTCTCTTTTATGGTACCCCCAACTTCTGCTCATTATCCTCATTATTGATATAGCATGGCAACCCATGTGCCCATAATTTAAAAGCAGAACTAAGTGCACCACCAAAACCTAACTGAGGATTTTACAAAATACAAAGAAGATTTCTTTCTTGAAATGAATTGTCTTCTAGCAAGTTTCTGTAATTTGCTGAAGGGTTATTCAAATTTCAAAATATAAAATATAATAAAAAAGGAAAGAAGAAATTAAAAAATAAAAAAAAACATCAAACTAGACATGTAGCACATATTGAAGAAAATGAAAATGAACTCACATCCACCGACTGCTGCAAAGGGCTTTTAGTTCAAGTGGTTAAGAACATTTATTCATGCACCCTCATATCCTAAGTTCGATTTCCTCTTTCCAATATCGCTTTCTATCAAAATGCGATATATATGAATGCCAAAATGCTTGATTATATTTACATGGTATTGATGGAACATTTCACTTAAAAGACTTCCCTGACTCTGTTTGCAGAAGTTGTTTCACCATTCACATATCTGTGTCTGGACTCTGGAGCATCTTCTAGAGAAGTCCCAATCCCATAATTGCTAACTGTAAGCTCAAAATTGGCATGCGAAGTGTCAACAACACTTGGATTCAACGTTTCCAAAACAAAATTTAATATAAACAATAAAAATTTGTCTCTGTTTCATCGACAGTGTTCAATGGTGTACCACACGTGCTCTCGGCCGAGACACAGAGAGAGGGGGAGAGAGAGAGAAGATTTTCCAGCTGGGAAAATGTGCGTCTCTATTTTAATCATCAACAAAACCCCGACCCCTTAAGAAACAAATAAAATAATTGTTGGCTAGATGAAACATTATCAACTTCTTGTGTGAGATCTTGACTTGGAACAGAGCCCAACGTTCCCCACCACCCATGCCATGACTAAGATGTCATTTTATGTATTTATTTCTTTCCTAACTTGTGATAAGTTTGTATATATATATATAATGGGTACCTATAGATAATATATACATTTGAGATTTTCTATTTAAACCCCATACTTCTCTTAGTTTACCCCATGTTCTAAGTTCACCTCAACTTTTAATTTAAATTTTCACAATTTCTAAGTAAACCCCACTATCTTCCCAAACTACCCTTAAATACACCTCGAGCTGAAAAAATAAGAAATAAAATAGATTTTCTATTTAAACCCCACAAGCTACCTTTAGATGAGAAAATAAGTTTATTTATTTGTATGGTGGGTTTGGGGTTGTATGAGTTAGGAAAGTGGGGCTGCTCGGTGTTTAAAAGTTGAAGACATGGAAAATTGGTTTTCCAGGGGGGAAAAGCTTATTACTTGTGTTGCTTGTGTCACTGATATTGCTCATAGCCAAAGTAGAAGTACTTGTCTTTTGATATATGACGCACAAATTGTAGGACCATTATCAAAGCTTGGGCTTCTCTTTCTCTTCTCCGAAGGATAATAAAAACCCAACTTAACAATATTCCCATGAATCTCTTGGTTTCGTGCCTTTTGAATGTGTATGTCAATTAATATAATATGAAGAAAAATTCAAGTTACCCCATACTTTCTAGAGAAAGAGAACAGTTTTACCAAAACATCAGGTATAAATTTTAAAATCAAAAACAATCAAGCAATCAACAGCCAAGAATAAAACAAAAAAAAAAAAACAACAAAGGGAAGAGAATAAGATCATTATAGAGAAACAATCAACAAATCTTTCCATCAGCTTTCACGCAGATTTCAAAGTGGTAGGCTCGTCAATGTTCAACGTCTTTAAAAGAGAAAAGTAATCTGGCATAGGATGTAGAAGAGTTTGTATTGTTTTTTAAACTTAATTTGAAGAGTTGTGGGGTGTGTCTATAGATGTACTAGGGTTAAGTATTAAGTTGGATGACCTTTTTTGTCTTTTTATACAATAATAAAACTTACAGCTTAATGATTTAAGTATTGGGGTGAACTAAGAGAAGTGTGGGGTTTTAAAAAAAAAAATCTATACATTTTCACTCATTTGTCATGTCAAAAGACAAGGGGAGGTAAGGGTTGTTATTATTCACGTGAATAGTATCAATTTTTGTAAAAGGCAAGTTGTGTTTTCACCTATTGCCATGTCACAAGGCAATTACTATTAACTTTAATCTTTTATTTTATTTTTTATACTTAAATGATTAATTTGGATAAGATTTTCGGTTGCTAGGTGTCAATATCTATTATAAAATTCACATATCATATTTTGAATAAAATTTTCGGATAAGATTTTTGATTGCCAAATGTCCATATTTATCAAAAAATTCACATATCAAATTTCAGATAAGATTTTTGAATAAGATTCTCGGTTGCCAAGTGTCGATATTTATTATAAAATTCAAATATCATATTTCAAATAAGATTTTCACCCTCTAAAATTGCGCCACGTGTCATCTCTATCTTCTAAAATTCCTTTATAAAACCACAACCTCAACTCATACCTCTTACACCATATCCTCTCTATCCCTTCATTTCTCAGATTTTAGAAAGCACATTCTACTCTCAATGTCTTACACGAGGAGGTTGTTGGAGAGGCAAGAGCGAGAAAATGAAGAACGAATGCGCAAACGAGTTGAAGAAGAAAGAGAGTGGGAAGACGATGATGATCACGTTGCCATGGCAATGACTATTTTCCATCAATCAAGCCAAGGCCACCGTGGTTCACAAGTCGGGTGTGGCCTGAATGTGGACAGACGTAGGCATTCTTGGGGTAAGAATCTCTTAGAAGATTACTTTATCCCAAATTCGTTGTACTCTAGTTTTGATTTTCAAGGGTAGTTGGGCAATTCTGGAAGCCGTTGCATTCTATCATTCGATACCTGGGTTTGGCATGCATTTTTCGGAGTTGCGGGATCTCAAAACAACCTTAACGTGCTCGGTCAATCTCCGGTGTTCAACGATGTGTTGAGAGGTCAAGCCCCTCAAATCACGTATGAAATCAACAATATTGTCTACTCGAGTGGGTACCACTTAGCATATGGAATTTACCCAAGGTGGACGACATTCGTCAAAACAATTCCGCATCCCTAATCATAGAAGGAAAAATACTTTGCTGTCTATCAACAGGGTTATAGGAATAATGTGGAAAGGTGTTTTGGTATCCTCCAAGCTCAATGGTCAATCATTAGGGTGGCTGCTTGTTTGTTTGATGAAGATGTGCTTCGAAGCATTATGATTACATGCATCATCCTCCATAACATGATTGTGGAGGATGAGTATGATTATGATGAACTAGAGATGTTTGAACCCGATACCATGAACACGACATTGACAAGAATTTATGAATGGCCCGTGGGAGAAAATGAACAACTATTGGAGCACGAACCATTGATTAGGGATGGTCATTACAACAATAGTATGATTGACCGTTATACGGAAATGCAATATTCTTATATTCACAAAAGACGTCAAGTTGACTTGATAGAGCACTTATGGGCGCTAAGAGACAATCACTGTCAATAAAGTTAAGTTTAGTGCTTTGTTTTTAATTATGTTTTGTTTTGAATTATGCTTTGTTTGTGTTTTGTTTTGAGTTATGTTTTTTGTGTGTTTTGTAATGAATTATGCTTTGTTTTGATGTATGCAATGTTTTAAATAAATAGTTATATTATTAAATGCTTTATTTATTCAATAAAAGAAAAGCAATACAACTAATGAAGAAATATAACTAATTTAATAAAAGACAAGCATTACAACCAATTAAATAAAAGACAAGCAATACAACTAATTAATAAATGTCAACTCTATCAATACAACCTAATGGTTTTCATCATTTTTCCAATCCGTGTTGCCAAGTCCATCGTCACGGAAAAGCCTTCTTCTCATATAACATCCCTTCATTCTAACTTCCAAAATGACTTTGTTTATGGGGACAATGGCTCGTATCCATGGCCATTGTTTCCTGATCCTTCTTGTCCATGTCTTGTTTGTGTGCATACTCCCTTTCTCTAGAAAATGCTTCATCTCTTGCCTTGTTAGCCGCATCTCTTTTCATATCTCTCTTAATTCTCATTGTGCCGTTGATAGCAATTTGCTCCAAAAATTTTGTATAATCATTGGTCGAATTTCTCCCTCTCTTGACCTTTGCCGCCTTCCTCCCAATAGGCCTCAACTCCCTTTGGATTTATGAGTCTTGATTCATCGGGGACTCCAACGACAAATCCGATGCCGGTGAATCGTGGAGCAGCATCTCATTCAACACAATGGTCGGACCCATGGGAATAATTTTGAATCTCGAATAATTTTTCACAACCTCCCAACATTGGTGATTGTTGAAAGATGTTTTACCTTGGCCAATGGAACCAAACTACATTTGTGCTTGCATAATCTATAATAATAAAAAATTAAAAATATAAGAAAATATCAAAAAATATGACATTAAATTTAATAAAACGACAATTACAAGCCGAACCTGATCTTTCCTCACTTTTACCTCGTTGCCAAGATTTTCACCGCTTCAAAAGTCATCCCTCACTTTTGCCAACTCATCTCTCCATTTTCCTAACTCTTGATTCAAAATTTTGCACCTACTAGCCAAGGCCATTTCCGTACGAGCCGAACCTGATCTTTCAGAAAATTCGACATGAATTTTTCTCCACATATGAGAGAACTTCATTTCATTGCCCGTGATAGGGCAATGACCAACTTGGACCCACTCATACAACAAAACATTTTCCATGGTTGTCCATGACCCTCCGACTTGGATGGAAGAAGCCATTTGTATTTTTACACAAATGAAATTTAGTAGTAGAAATTTTGGTGTTGAAAGTGAATAATATTGGAAGGAGAAGAATTTGTATGAAGATTTGGTATGAAAAGAATATTGGTAGGTGTTTATAGAAAAAAATTTCAGAATTTTTTGGTATTTTTTTTATAATAATTTCAAATTTGTTTTTTCAACTCTTTTTACACAAAAATTGGTAGCCGTTAGATTTGAGGAGAAATATTGGATTGGACACCCTAGGAAGCACCACGTGGCTTCTATCCGTTAAGGGAAAGCAGGGCTGACTCCAGGCTGGCGTCAGTGCACGAAAGTTCAATTTTTATTCATTTTTACTGTTGGTGCGTGACATACATGCCAATGGTAAAAAGAATTCAAACCCGTGAGCTAACGCTAGCCTGACACAAGACCTCATGTGCACTGGTAATTGCTCTTAACCACTTGAACTACAAGCCTCTTACTATTTAATTATAATTAAATAAATACTTAAACACATTTTATTTGATAAAAATACTGAAATGATCATGATAGTAATCAGATGTCTAATTAATTTATCATTTAACTAATAATAGTATATAAGGTAGTTGAAAAGCTTTTGAGCACCCTTTTCCTTAGAGTATCTCCAAGGGATAGAGCAAAAGAGTAGGTAAAGCTAATTTACCTTGCCACATCAGCATTTTCATGCTCCAAGGGAACAAGTAAATAAATGAGTACGCAAAATATACATACTCTCCCAATTAAGGCAGTGTTGCCTATGTCAAAAGCATTAGGCAAATTGGATCCCACATGCTTTTAATTTTTAGTTGGTAGTAACTTTTTTCCAGCATCCCACATGTTTTTAATGATAAAATAATGATTGGTACAATTGCATTGCCTAGTCCATTGGAGTGACTTTTTTTTTTTTTTTTTTTTTTGGCAATGAGTAGGCAACATGGTCACTTAAGTAATTAAAGTACATATTTGTCTATTTCACTTGCCTTATCCATTGGAGATGCTCTAACAAGCCGGTTTATAAACAAGTTCTACACATGCACTCTTAATAATTGGCATTAGAGCTTGGTTTCACCACGCAATGAGGTATAGCTTGATAGAAGAGGTGATCTATAGGCTAGATTAAGATGAAAGTTAATATATATTGGCATAATATCGAGCCATTGAATACTAGTAGATGAGTGAAGCCAACTCAAAAGAGGGAAACAACTATAAATTCTAGCATGCCTTTGAACCTCAACACTAACCTTGGTCTGATCTACTCAGCTTCTTAGCTCTCTCTCTAAAGGGGGTGTGATTTTATGTTTGAGTGTGTTTAGCCGATAGGGAAGGGACATCTATTTATAAGCAATTACCCTAGTGTCTTTCCCATCAAGAAACATTCTAGTAAACCTCATTGTATTAGATAGGTTTTTTCAATCCATATGTAATTAGGAATCCTCAAGGATTTTGTGTTTCAATTTAAATACACTTAGAACAAGAGCTGCAAACATGTTAGAGCTGTATATCTTGATCAATGCAAACTCTTGAATGCACATGTGATTAGAAGACCACAATCGTGGTTAAGACAAGATGTTTTCTTACAGTTTCCCACTTGGTCAAATAAAGACAAAAGAAGAATTGAATTGTCCACTTAAAGGCCTTGTGAAATATAACCAAACAAAATTCCTACTAAGCCTCTGTCAGTGATTAAAAAATAGTAAGGGGCTGAGATGGGTCTTTTATTCACAAGCATCTCAAATGTAGTAGGAGATTTCAAGGGAACTCTTTTGAAGGCCCAATACCAACCAGTTTTTCTCAACTGACTTCATTGGAATCTCTGTAAGGGCAAATGCTTAATACATTTTAAACTCTCTCTCTCTCTCTCTCTCTCTCTCTCTCTCTCTCTCTCTCTCTCTCTATGAAGGCGAATCAGTGATATATATTTCAAGACTTATTGAACATACAATCATCAAAGTCTTTATAATCACACTTAAAGTTTTCTAATACTACATGAAGCTTCGATCAAGACTAAAACCATAGAATAATCATGACTAAACTGGAAGTGCTTAACATAAGTCACGTTTATTCAATTGTCCCTACAAATGACTACCAAGGTCTCACTTTGAACAAGCGAAGATACAAACTATGTCATGAATACAATTCCAACACAACTACCTTTAATGCTAGCAATGCTCCCTATATGTATTCAACTAACAAGCAATTACAAATAACTAATAAAATTTAAAGTGAACAAAATGAATTCTATTAAACCTCAAATCTGAAAATCATTCATTAAAACTACCACTAGTTAATCAAAACTAAAAACTAACAAAACAAGTTAAATCTACCAAAATAAAACTAACTTCCACTCTTTTAGCCACTCATATAAGCTATTAATCCCATACTAATGACACATTTATGAAATACACCATTTGGAAGCCCTTTAGTGAGAGCATATTATAGCTGTGAAGAATTTAACCTCTAGAATTCTTGAAGACTTTGTCCTCTTATTCCCTTTTGCAAAAAAGAACTATTGCACTGTTGTCATTCCAAAGTTGTATAGGTCTATGTATTTACTCAACTACATTCCAGCTAGTCATAAAATTCTTTAACCACATAGCTTGAGAAGTAGCTTCATAACAAGCTAGGAATTCAACCAACATAGTTGATGCAATTGTGAGAGGTTTTTTTAATACTTCTCCATGAAACAGCTGCTCCTGCAAATTGAAACACATAGCTAGATGTTGATTTCAGATCATCTTTACATCCTGCAAAGTTTGCGTCTGCAAACCCTTCTAATTCCAATATGTCACTTCTTCAAATAATCAACTTGTAATTCTTTGTTTTCTGTAGATATCTCATAACCCTTTTACCTGTCATCTAGTGAGCATGTCCAGGATTTGATTGAAATCTGCCCAACACACTTATAGGAAACGTTATATCAGGCATGGTGCAAACATGTGCATACATTAAATTTCCTACCAATGAAGCATAAGGTTTTTCAACCATCTCAAGCCTCTCTTGATTAGTTTTGTGCTTGATCTCTACTCAACTTATCTCCCTTAGAAATAGGCATATATGTTCCTACACAATCTTGCATATTGAACCTTTTAAGTATCTTCTCTATATAAATTTTCTGTGAGAGTCCTATCAAACCGTTGTCTCTATTCCCGCTTATTTCAATTCTCAAAACATACGAAGCTTCTCCCCGATCAGTCATATCAAAGTGTTTGGCCAGAAAATTTTTGCAATCATGCAACATTAATAAGTTGGTGCAAGCTAACAAAGTGTCATATATATATAAAGCACCAAAATAATAAAGTGACTTCCACTCATCTTCATATAAATGCATTCATCCAAGACATTCTCTGTAAAACCATAGACTTTAACAACTTCAGTTTAGATGCTTGTTTGAGGCTATAGGTTGATTTATACAGTTTGCAAACTAGATTTTCTCCCTTCTCTTGAATGAAACCTTCTGGTTGTTGCATGTAAATTTTTTCTTCTAGGTTTCCATTCAAGAATGCAGTCTTAACATCCATGTGATGTAAGTGTAAATTAAAATGAGCCACAAGTGGCATGATCTCTCTAAAAAAGTATTTGGTTGAAACAGGTATATGTTTCATGATAATTGATCCTTTCTTGTTGTGTGAACCCCTTGGCAACTAATCTTGCCTTATAACTATCAATCTGCTTATTTGAGTTTCTTTTGGTTTTGAAAACCCACTTACATCCTATTGGTTTGCAGCCTTGTGAAATTTTTTCTTCTAGGTTTCCATTCAAGAATGCAGTCTTAACATCCATGTGATGTAAGTGTAAATTAAAATGAGCCACAAGTGGCATGATCTCTCTAAAAAAGTATTTGGTTGAAACAGGTATATGTTTCATGATAATTGATCCTTTCTTGTTGTGTGAACCCCTTGGCAACTAATCTTGCCTTATAACTATCAATCTGCTTATTTGAGTTTCTTTTGGTTTTGAAAACCCACTTACATCCTATTGGTTTGCAGCCTTGTGATAATGATACAAGTTCCCAAACTTCATTCTTTTCCATGGAACTCAATTATGACTTCATAACCAATTCTCACTTTTATCAGTAATCATTGTTTGCTTAAAATTCATGGGATCTTCAATGCCATTTACATCATGCTTAGGTTCTTGTAAGTAGACATCATAATCATCAGGTAGAGTACATTTCTTAGGCCTTTGTGATATTCTCAATTCCAGGTTTAATTGAGTGTTGTTTCCTTCTTTTGTTTAGGCTGTAGTTTGAGTTTCTAGTGGAAAAACCTGATGTGCTTGAGTTTCTTCTTCAATCTCCATTAAACCTATTTCAATATGTTCTTCTAGATAAGTTTGCTTGTTGCTCAACTCAAAATCAGGTAAGACTAGAATGCCATTATCTATATGTGATTTCATTGAATTCTCAGTTTTCATCATAACTTAACCAAACTCAAAACCTTCTTATTCAATTCTCTCATCCTCAGATTCTATAAACACTGCTATTTGAGTTTCTACAAATCTCGTGGTGTTTTTGGAGTAGTTCTTTTCCATGAGATTATAACTTAGCCTTAGCCTTGCACCTCCATATTCTTAGATGTTTCAAACTTGGTTTCATTTGGTTCCAAACTTCATAAGGAATTGCATTGACACTTTTGGTAGGTACTCTATTAAGTTCGTAATTAGGTGTCTTTAGTGCTTCTCCCCATATGAAAATTGGTAGATTAGTGCAACACATCATGCTTCTAATCATATCCTTTAAAGTCCTATTTCTTATCTCTACAATGCCATTTTGCTATGGAGTTCCTCAATTAGTGTACTATGCAATGATTCCTTCTTGTTGTGGAAACCTTGCAAATGGACCAGGATTTCTCCCTGTTTCATCAAGCTTCCCATAGAACTCCCCCCCTCTGTTAAACCTTACACTTTGATCTTTAGGTCTAGTTGGTTCTCTACTTCAGCTTTATAGATTTTGAACATGCCCAATGCACTAAATTTTTCTTCGATTAGAAAAACATGTCCATACCTTGAATAATCCTTTGTAAAATTGAAGAAGTAGTTGAACCCTTTATGAGTTGTAGTTGGGAATGGTCCACGGATGTATGTATGGATTAACTCTAGTACACTTTGACTTCCCACATCACTTTTCTTTCTTAAGTTAGTTAATTTCCCCTTCACACATTTAGTGCAAACCTCATTTGTGTTGTTACGATGTAATAGTGCTAAGACTAATTCTTTGCACAAGGTATTGATTCCTTCCTTTGATATATATCCGAGCCTTTTTTGCCATAGTTAAATGAGCATTTTTTGCTTGGTTTAAATTTAACAGAATTAATTTCCATAGTTTCTTTGCAATTCAATAAAAACATTCCATCAACAATGCTTGATTTTCCAACTAATTCTTTATTTCTGAAAATAGAACAACCAAAATCATCAAAGTTCAAAGTGAACTTTGACTTTACAAGCCTAGTAACTGAGATTAGGTTCTTCCTCATTGAAGGAATGTAAACCACATCTTCTAATTCCAAAATAAACCCAAAATTCAGTTCAATCCTAACTATTGCAACGAAATTTACTTGAACAATGTCTCCATTGCCCATGAACACCTTCACTTCATACTTGTTTGGCAACCTCTTCCTTATCAACCCACTGTCTAACCACCATGAATCACACAAGAAATCAACTAAGTTAGATTTGAAACAAACCAAAACTTGAATACTTTAACCTTTAGCCTTTTGTTTATTTCTTGTAACTCCTACATTCCTTCTTCATATGTCCATTCTTCTTGTAGAAAAAATATTTCAATCCCACAGGTTTCAAAGCTTTTGAATTGTTATTTTCCTTTTCTTTCTCTTTTCCAGAAACAACAACTTTGTTCTTATTCTCCTTATACTATTTGGCTTGCACTATGTTCGCTACCTTTGCACCTTGTTCCCTTATATTGTTATGTTCCTGTTGAACACTTATAGTGATGAGATAGTTGAGTGTCCAACACTCTTTCTAAGCAATGTAGGTGTTTCTAAGAGACTTAAATTCCTTAGGCAGTGAATTCAAAACAAAGTCTACCATCATGTCTTCATCTATATTCATATCCATCTCTTGCATTTTTGACCTAATGCCAATCATATTCATGATGTGAGCTCTTACACATCCTTGCCTATAATATTTCATCTCAACTAGTTGGTTTAGCAGTGTGCTTTTCAAAGTTTTCTTAGACTCTTTGAATCTTTCTGCAATGCTCTCATAATACTGCTTTGCATTCTTAGATTTGGGGAATGCTTCCTTTCACATATGATGACATATACCTTTGCATAATTAGCATGGTCATGCAATTTGTCTTCTCCCACTTGGCATATTTGGCTTTGACTTCTGCAGAAGCATTTGCAGCTGGTTCTTGGGGTGAATCTTCTTTGAGAACAACATCATAGTCCAAAAACCCCAAGGATATTTGCATATCTTACTTCCAATTTTGATAGTTTGATACAATCAAAGTTTCAATGGATTGATAGTTTGAGGTATTCACTGTAAATTTATAACAAAAATAAATAATAAATAAATTGTTCCCATGGTTCTGTATCTAAACATTATCATCTCACACATGTGGGTTGTTAGTTGAACATATTCCAAAGCACTGAATTAGGGTTTGAATAGAATTCCTGCACAAGTAAACCTCTCATTTGTGGATCGAGAAGGTTTCTTTATTAGTCTGTTCAATCCTTTCATTCACACTGTTCCATCACATCTGTTATCAATTTGTGTTCTTTCCATATGTGGATAGAAATAGCACAAAAGGCTATTGTTGATTGACAATCATTCTTGAAACATTTAAGAAGTTGTGGCTTACTTAACTTATAAAACTAAAAATTTCCAGTCTTTCATCAATAGCCTTCCAAGCATGATTGAGCATAGAATCTTGAAGCCCTTGATCATACCTTGTCACATAAGATATGCAATTGTTTTTAAGCTACATGCTTCATGACAAATGATCAAATTTAAAGATGAGGTTTATGCATACTTGAAAAATAAAAAAAGTTCGATTAAAGAACAAGACCTAGTGCTCTGATACCACATGTAAGTTCTAGCATGCCCTTGAACCTCAACATTAACCTTGGTATAACATGAGGGATAGAAATCTTCTTATCTACTTGGTTCCTTAGCTCTCTCTAGATAGGGTGAGATTTTCTGTTTGAGTGTGTTTAGTCGATAGGGAAGGGACATCTATTTATAAGCAATTACCCTAGTATCTTGCCCATCAAGAAACACTTGAGTAAAACTCATTGCATTAGGATAGGTTGTTTCAATCGTGGTTAAAACAAGATATTGTCTCACAACGACTACCACCAGGCTACCAATGGGCTCTTAACAATTGGCATCAGTGCTTGGTTTCTCACGCAAGTGGACCAACGAAGACATTATCCTGAGCACCTTTCCCTTACAAGCCGGGTTTTAAGGGAAAGTTCTACCCATGAGTTCTTAACATATATTTGAATTTTTTTTTCCTATGTTAGTATGCATTCAAGAATTTACCTTGAATTCAAATTCTTACGGACAATGCTAGGGGATCCTAATTTTTTTCTTTCAAATTTTTTTTTTAAACTTAGGTGGCACTCACACATATTTGTTATTTTTTATGCAACTATTTGAGGTTGTTAACATAATAATTTGTTTGGCATTTGTTGATGCTCTTTTTGGGAGGTCAACTTAGAGAGAAGGGGATTGTCTTCAGTGGTGGAGAAGGTAAGGACCTTCAGGAAGGGACTAGCCTGTAGAAGACAATAGGAGAAGCAATCGTTAAGCTTTGGACACCGGTGTGGTGCCGGCCAAAGGCTCTCCAATGCTTAAGTCAACTAAGAGTAGTAACTTTTGCAGAGTAACAGTAAAAGTAAGAAAGTAGTTACCCTTTTTACTAGGGTACTGTTCCCTATCTATAGGGAAGTGAAAGTGGGAGGTTTGTGTAGAATTTCGATGTGGGACTTTGTGCAAGTCGCTGTGGTGGTGACACGTGTCCTGGAGATTAGGTTCAGCAGTTTGACAGCATCAGCAGTCGGGAGCTTCAACAGGTGTCTGGCACCTTAGAAGAGTGTCTTCCTTCGGCAGGGGAAAAGGCGTGGTTGCCTTGGTGCTAGTTGTTTTGAGGCTGGATATGCTCGGTTGATTATGGTGTAAACAGTAGTCCCCCAAGTTCGCAGTCAAGAAGTAACTTCTGGGTTGGGAACTTGTGAGTTTTTGTGTAATCATGACCGAGCATTCCAGGTTCAGTGGGAGTCGTAGAGCATTCCCTAGTCCCCCAAGTTAGCAAGCTAGAAGTTGTGTTAACATTGGAGAGGTATGTGAGCCTTTAGAACAATTGGTAGCTGGGTACCTAGGCATTCTGCAGGGAGGCTGGGGGCTAGGCCTTTGTGTTTGGGGTGTTAGGCTTGGAGGATTGGGTTGTGGCCCTTTGCTTGCTTCAGCAGACCTTGCTGTTTGGCATTCTTTTGTGAGCCCACCCATGATTTATCTCAAGGTTAGGCTTGGGCCCCTTATGGCTAAGGTGTAGAGCTGGGGCCCTGGGCCATGAGTTTAGCCTAGATTGTTTGTTGTGTAGAGATATGGGTATGGTAGTTTAGGCATGGTCCCTGCCGTTCGGCAAGGTACCAAGGGGCTTTGGGCTAACGACTTGCAAGGGCTGGGCCCTAGATATGTTTCGGCAGGGGGTTGTAATTGGTGCTGGGTATCCAAGTTTTTGACACAGCATGTGAGCTGGGCTTTTTGGAGTGGGTTGGGCCAAGGCCAGTGGTGATATATGTTGAAGTTAGGGTTCAGCCTTTGTAAGAAGGGTATAAATAAATCTTTGTGGCTTTTTGCCGTTCGAAAACATAGCCAAGTCCTTATTTTCTAGTTTCGGTAGAGCCAGTTTTGCTGGGGGGCGTCATCTCCTTCTGCAGCTTAGTTGCCAATTGGGACCCTTCAAAGATTCTTTTCGTGAGTCCTCACATATCCTATTGAGCACAAGCCTATCGCTTGGCAGCTCGGTGTGGGCATTTCTTTAGCAAGAGGTGACCAAGGACCTGCGCAGTAAGATCTACGAGCACTCCCGCAGCTGTTTCACTGCCCTTGCCATTCGGCAAGGGTTTCCTTTTGAGCTGGGCCCAGATTCGGAAGCTTGGGAATCTAAGCAAGAGGCCTAGCTTGGGTGGCCTGGTGTCGGGTCTGTTTGAGCTTCGGCAAGATCCCTCTAGGGAGAAGGTTGGGTTCGGCAAGGGGAGTTGGATCGGATTCGACGAGTGTTGAGGTAAGTTATCTTTCCAAGTCTACTTTTCGTCCATACGTTTCTTGCCGTTCGGCAAGGTGGATCCGAGGTTAAGTTTGGTTGATTTTGCAATAGTGGGTTTGGAGGAAGCCACACGACCTCCGTACGGGACTTGTCATTCAGCAATCTACATGATTGTGCAAGCTAAATTGGATTGAGGGCATATTTGGAAGGGACAGTGATTGGAGCTGGTTCGGCAACATCCATTCAGTAGGTTGATTGGTGTCTCCGTGAGCTGGGCTTTGGGCTTTGTTAAACCTTGGAGCTGGTTCGGCAAGAGGGTATTTGTTGCGAGCATATATATTTTTTCTTGCAATCCCTACCATTCGGCAGGGACCTCCCTATTGGCTAGGGTCTGGCTATACCTTCCCTAAGAATAGCTGGGTTGCTTTGGAGCCTTGCCTTGTTGAGGCAAGTGTTTTGCGAAGCCATTTCTCCTCTAAACAACCCTTTCTGTTCGGCAAGGGTGGGCTGGAAAGTTTGTGTTGTTTGAGTGGTGTTGGTCATTCGGCAAGTTGAGATTTGAAGGTGCCTTGCTAGGAGCTGGGCCCTCTATTGAGGTAAGTGTCTTTGTGGATGCCTTTTTAGTTCCGCATGTTGGTTGCCATTCGGCAATTTCCATTAAGGAATAATCTTGATTGTTGTAGAAGGATTTCGGCAAGGAGAATTGGAGCTGGGCTCGAGACAGCTGTCGTTCGGCAGGCACAGGAGTTTCGTGTCTTTGGCAAGGTTTTGACAAGTGTTGACTTGGAATCGTTACTGTCGTGAGCCTCCCCTCAATTTCTTCCACGACCCTTGCCATTCGGCAAGGGTGGACTTGGTTATCTTGAGGTCTTGGTTCGGCAAAATTCAGTTTTGGAGCTTCGGTGAATGGGTTCTTCAGCAAGTGGGTACTTGGGCTTAGGAAGCTGGGTGCCTTGATCAGATTTTTGAGGTAAGTCTTTATTTTTGGAGGCCTCTATTTTGTTGCTGGTCATCCCTTGCCATTCGGTAAGGGTGAGTTTCCTTTTTTTTTTGCAAGCCCTGTTTGTGTGTTGTTGAATCTTCGGCAAGTTGGCTGAGTCCCCATGTTTTGTAGGTGTCGGCAAGGTGGCTGAGCCATGGATCACCTAGAGCTGGGACTTGTAACTGGGCTTTACAATTCAGCCACTTGGGTTTAGCTTTCGACAGGTGAGCTTGGGCTTCTAGATTTGTGAGGCCTTCTATCTGTTCTATACGCTCCTTGTCGTTCGGCAAGGAGGATTTGGAGGAGCTGGGTCTTTGGCAGATTGGGACCGTGGGTTCGGGCCTGCACCTGGGCCGAGTTTAAATAGGTTTCTGCCCAGGCACCGTAGGTTCTAACCACTTGGTGTTGCAACACGATTTGGGCTTGGTGCAAGGCTTAGGCAAGTTGAGGATTTGGGCTGTTCCGCAAGGTCCATTGTAAATCCCTTCTTTGATTATTATTATTATTTTTTGGATTTTGAATTTGAAATTTGAATTTCAAATCGTTGTGCAGGTACATGGGAAGGTGGAAGGGTTCTAGGGTTTTCTCGTGAATCGAGGCGTTTGCACCCTTGGGGTTTTATAAATAGGAGCTTGGGGTTATGAAGGCTTCACACTTGGAGAATTTTGAGAGAAATTTTTAGAAAGTGAGAAGGAGAAAAGAGATTTCCAGCGAGATTTTGATGGTGGTGCTTGTGGCCAAAGTGATTTCCGGCGTCATTCCGTGGTGGTGCAAACAAAGTTAGACCTTATTTCCCTTGAATTTTTTAATTGAAATGTCTTCTTCTATATGAACATGTTGAAGACTACGATGAACACCTTGAATATGAGTATGAACTTGATGAACACCCTGACCATTGAGATGAACTTGTTGAATGTATGCATCTAGATCGAAAAGCATGTAGGTGTGCCCTCCTTTTTGTGTTTTTGCGTTTTCGATCCTTCTTGCATGTGCATTAGTTCCTTTTTCTTGTTTTTGCAATTTGTAGATGTCTGAAAGTTGTGTGAGCCTCTGGAACTGTTGGTAGCTGTTGGTCCGTCGCAAATCTCGCAGCCTGGTGCTCCGGGCCGAGGGGATGTGCGTCAACACGTGATGTCCTCCTTTTGGATGCGGTGCGGTTGTGCGCGGGCGTGCCAGCACGGTCTACCGTGCGTCGAGGTGATGATGAGGTTCGGGTAGAAGATGGTTTAAATGTTGCGCCTGTTTTGCATTCGACTCCTAATCAAGCGATTGTGACCGAGTGAGGAACGAATCTCGGCCGTCAGGTTCACGGCCTGAGCTACAAGGCCGTTTAGTGGTGGTGTTAGTGGTGGGTTTTTAGGCAGTACTCCGGTGCGTTGCTCAAAGAGCGACGATCGTATGATATATGAGGTGAGTAAGGCGATAACAGAGGTGGTGCACCGGCGCCTTGAAAATCAAGGGTCGTATGATATATTGATGAATGGATTTTCCTTACAGTCTACCACTACTCCTAAGAAAGCAAATAAAGGTATTGAAGGTGCATTACAGAAAATATAAGTTGCTCCGTGGGAGGCTTTTGGTTTGGTGTTTGAACCCCTTGAACGTGGTCTTGAGCTCAATATTTATAGGAGGAGTCCTGGAGGGCCAATCGAGGCTGAAAAAGATCTGCCTGGTGACCTTGAAAAATATCTGCATGGTGGAGCCTGATCGAGGCAAGTGGGTAGTCAAATCGGCATTTGGGATTGTGAAGCATGGTGGTATGACCCCCATAAATCTCGGCAAATCTCGGCCACCGCCCTGATCGTGGGCTCTACACTCTTGGTCGTGGGAACGCATTTAATGCTCTGGTCCAGTGGTTGGTGATCTGACCTCAAGCTGTGAGAATGCTTTGTGAGAATGTTTGCGCCTAACCACTCTGATTCCTGATACCAAATCCTGACTTCAATCACTTCCCTTCTGCCCTCGTGCATTAAATGCTTCTTGCACCCAGTGGTTTTGCTGTGGTGGTCAGAAGCACTACTTCATTAAATGGGGCGTGGGACCCTGAGGCCATGTGACGATTTAACCATAGTATCTTTGGCCGTGTCTCTCATGGACCTCGGCCTCGGCCCACAATGCGGTGGTTGTGAGGCCGAGAAGATCCTGCCTTCTTATTTTCTTCTGCTTTCGAAAAGGCTAAATGTCTGACGAAACGTGGCCGTTTCAGTCCATGAACAGGTGCTACGGCCGAGAAGAGGTCCCTTTTGACGACCGTGGTTTATTAGGCACAAACAGTAGCTGTGTACCTTTGAGAGAGAAAAGTGGACTTAAGCCTTCCAACTTCGGCAAGCAAATTTGCAGGCCCTTAGTACTTATGACCCGGGTTCTGCCATTCGGGAAGGAGGCTGAGTCATAGCTCTAGCTCGAGCATATTTGGTAACCAAGTGATGGCTTTAGGAAGTAGGGACGTGGGTCCAAAAAGGTGGGTTGAAGCTTGAAGAAGAACAAAGTATGGGCCTATTGAATGAATATTGAGGGTTGGGCCTCTTGGAGTTGGGTAAGAAAGGTTTGCTCCACTTATACCTTCGGCGAGGACGCCCAAGGTTTGGGCTTTGGTCTCTCGCCAAGAAAGCTGGGCCTTCTTGTGTGGGCTTCGGTAAATACAATATGAGGCCGGCCCATTCATGTTTAGGTTAGGGTTTTTGGAGAAGGGTAGATAGTCCTCCAAAATGAGACCTGCCTTTTGGCAGTTTATGCAGAAAGAGGCCATTCGTCCATCAAAAAAGCATTTTGGCAAGAGATTTTTCAGCAAGGTTTCGAACTCGTGAGTGCCCAAGAACTTTCGATCCCAGGCTTGCCGAACAGTACTCTCCATGCTGAAGGAGACGGGGTGAATTGAAAAAAATTTCGAAGACCCTTTTGTGTTCGGCAAGTGATTTTGGCAGGAGGTCGTGACTGTCGTGCATCTCCCTTCAATTTCTTTCACAACCCTTGTCGTTCGGCAGGGGTGGACTTGGTTAGCACGGGGGCTTGGTTCAGTAAGATGGGGTCTGTGAGGCCTTGGCGTGTTTTCGGAACTGAGGAAGTCGAGGTCTCCTACGTTCAGCATGGCCCTTGCTGTTCGGCAAAGGAGCTGGGTTCGTGAGTCCTCACTGTTTCGGCAAGCTTGGTGGGGATTTGTTTTACTTTCTTGGGCCTTTGGAGCCAGTGTCACAGGTCTTGGTAGCCATCTCTGGAGCTAGACTGTTTGAAATTCGGTAGGTGGCTTGAGCAAGGATTTGTCATTCGGTGGCACAACTTCAGCACTTGGGTTTGAAGCTTTCAAGAACCTTTAGTGTGGGACTTTCCGATCGGCAAGTGTCCCTTGTGAGTTTGGGAAACACCCATCTTCCGGCAGGGCTTGGTGTCTTTAACCCTTGCCGAACGGTAGGAGTCGTCTGGAGGAGAAGTTTAGGGGCCACTCAAGGGAAAGCTTTCACGGGACCTACCGTTCGGTAGCACAAACCCAGCACGGGTTGTTTTGGCATCACACCTTCAGCAGGTTTGGAGAAGAATTTCGGGTAAGGTCCTTGGAGCTAAGCTTCTGCTGTTCCACAAGAGAGCTGGGCAGTTGAGGCTTGGCTTTCGGCAAAGAGTTTTGATTTCGTATCCGAGGCTGGGCCCTCTGAATTTTGGTCGTGTGCTCTTTTATTTCTGCTCGACCCTTGCCGTTCGGCAAGGGTGGGAAAATTGGGAAATATTGAGGTCACTGGACATGGAGGGTTGCCTTGTCTGAACTTACTGTGATGATTTGTGTTGTGAACTTGAAATTTCTCTCACGCAAGGCCATTTTGAATTGTACTCCCATTTAGCAACCTCAATCTTAATCGAGTGGTCTATTTTTGTGTTTGGCAATAGCTGGGTATGAAAGAATTTGGCGAAACTTTGAGGCTGAGCTTGTGAAGGTTGGCGAAAAATTGGAGTAGAGGAAGTCGAGAGAACTTTGTAACTAAAGCACGGCTCTTACCGTTTGGCAAGAGGGCTGGGTTCTTGGGTCTATGCAATCGGCTTCAGTCAGCTCGTTAGCTCCGTTCGGCAAGAGTCTATCACTCGGGTCTTGTGAGTTTTGACTTGAAGGTTGAGCACCGCTCATCTCAATGGGGTGGTGAAAAGAGGAGATATTCAAATGCTATGATGCCTTGGGAGATTTGATTAGAGATTGCCGTGTGGCATATTGGAATATTTGTAAGGGTTTGGGGTGGAGCCCTCGCAAGGCTTTCGAAAAGTGGTTTGTGCTGAGTCGACAAGTCTTAGTTTGGCTTCGGTGAGGTACCAAAGGCATAGGTAAACCAAGTCGGGTTTGGTTTCGTGGAGGCACTTTGATTTTGGAAGGAGCCATCTTGTGAGTCCTCATTGCTTCTGCACAACCCTTGCCGTTCGGCAAGGTGGATTGAGTGAATTTTGGGGCTGTGGTATCTTCTTAGCAGCAATCTAATTTCGAATTGGGTTCCTGAGGTTGGAGCTGGGTTTAGTTGAAAGGTGGTTTTATCCTAGGAGGCTATACGTTCACAGGCCCCCGGGAGCTCCTGCGCTTGCAATAAGATATTGGTGTCTTGATAAAATTGGTGGCTAGGTGCTGCAGGATAACTACGATTTGCCGATCCGCACCTTGCTGGTGCGACATCATGGGTGTCTTGAGCGGTTTAGCGAGAGGTGAGAGATGGCATCTGTTTTCAGCCAATGAGAGGTGCTGATGGGCATGTCATAAGGGTGCTGGAGCGTAATAATTTTTTTTTTGTTGGGGATGAACCCATTCTTTTTTGGGTGTCTAGGTTAATTTGGTGGCTGGGTGCCGTATGGTATCCTTGGGTGTCTTGATAAGATCTTCGGCATGTGGTGTGTTATTCAGTAACCCATGAATAAGCTGCAAGCTTGGTTACTCTCTGGTTTTTAAGCTTTCTAAATTGGATGGAGATATCATGGTTTGGCCAATCAATTTGTTTGGAGGATGCGGTGCCGATGGCCACTTTGTAGTTTTCCATCTCGTGCTTGTAAACGTGTTGTACGGTTTGAGTGGCTTTCATCAGATGGTTAAGGCTCGATGAACCAAATGGCAAAGCAAAATGAGTTGTTGCCGACTTGGTGAAAGCCAGCAGTGAAAACACCATCAGCTGGTGGCATGGCTACCACGTCGGCTTCCTTGGCCATGCAAGCCATGCGAAGTAATGTTGTTTTTGGTTTGTCAAGTTTGTTTGAGAAGCTTTGGCACAAGGGTGATGCACTTGGTGCCATATCAGTATTTGTGGCTTCAACAGATAGTGGAACAAGTCCCCTGAGTTTGAGGGGAAAGAGATGTCGAACAGCAGCTGTGGGTCTTTAGCATATTCCTTGTTGTGTGCTGTAGTGAATGGTGGTGCATGTAAAGCCCTCCAAGGCTGGGCAATGTTGCCCAACATCATCTACCACACATGGGTTATACTAATATTTTAATGAAATTTCACATGCAACATTCCAAATAAATATATTTAAAAGAGATGTGGTATGGTTCACTTATCTCTTGGAAGTTTCATGGGCTTCCCTTGGATTGAAATATTGGCTTGCCTCCTTATACATGCAAGCCATGCATTTGGAATATTTGGCCACCCATAAATTGAGACTTTCAACGTGATTGAGAGGTGGTTCCTTGAGCTGAAATGGTGGTTTCCTCCTTTGGCCATGCAAGCCATGAAGGTGAGGTGTCGAAGGCATCGCTCACGTCAGAGAGGTCTGTCGAAGGCATCGCATGCGACACATGACTCCGAGGTGCCGACGGCATCGCTCGCACTAAATGACAATGGGGTGTCGAAGGCATCGCTCGAGTCGAATGATGGCAGGGTGCCGAAGGCATCGCTCACGCCGAAGACAGTGCACGCCGAATGATGTAAGGGTGCCAAAGGCAGCGTGGCCCGGATGATCAAAGAAGTGCCGAACGGCACTTTGAATTGAAATGTTGGTTTGGCCATGCAAGCCATGCAAAGTATAGCCACACTCTGATTGGCTTTTCCTTAAAATATCAACTTCTACAATTGTTGCCTTAGCATTCATGGTTGCTTCAGTAAGGTATTGCCGAACGACAACTTAGGTGATGATGATTGTATGGGTGCTGAAAGGCACTGAAGAAGGGGAGAACGACAGAAGCCTTTTGTGTCGATTCCCACAGACGACGCCAAACTGTTGATGCTCTTTTTGGAAGGTCAACTTAGAGAGAAAGGTATTTTCTTCAACGGTGGAGAAGGTGAGGACCTTCGATAAGGGACTAGCCTGCATAAGACAAGGTAGGAGAAGCAATCGTTAAGCTTCGGACACCAATGTGGTACCGGCCGAAGGCTCTCCGATGCTTAAGTCAGCTAAGAGTAGTAACTTTGGCAGCATAACAGTAAAAGTAAGAAAGTAGTTACCCTTTTTACTAGGGTACTATTCCCTATCTATAGGGAAGTGAAAGTCGGAGGTTTGTGTAGAATTTCAATGTGGAACTTTGTGCAAGTCGCTGTGGTGGTGACACGTGTCCTGGAGATTAGGTTCGGCAGTTTGAGAGCGTCAGCAATCAGGAGCTTCGGCAGGTGTCTGACACCTTGGAAGAGTGTCTTCCTTTGGCAGGGGAGAAGGCGTGGTTGCCTTGGTGCTAGTTGTTTTGAGGCTGGATATGCTCGATTGATTATGGTGTAAACAGCATTTGCCTATATCAAAATGCTCATTTGGTTGTAATATTAGATTTAGGATAGCATAAGTTTTGGCCATTGATTCCTTGATCAAGAATGTGGAAAGCTTCAAAGAGGATGTTTTTTAAAGGATGAAGTTTATGAAAAGTTTGGAGTTGCGATAACTTCATCTAGATCATGCATTCATAAGTTTAAATTGACGATGATTTTAATCATACTAATATGCATAGGTTGGATTATAATATTTGTTCCACATACACGAATATGGAAACACTGTCTTCGTTCTTGATCAATCAACATAATTACATGATCAATCAAGTTTTATAGGTTATCTTTTTTATGGCGTGTTCACTTCGTTTGTTTCAGCTAGGCTATAAGTATTTTTCTGAAACATTTTTCGCTTAGAAGCTTGAGCAAAGATACTTACAATTGAAAAAGCCAAAGGCCTTCTAAGAGCTTAACCCTTTTACAATATGAGATTGAGTTTCTTTTTCCGTCTCTTTTGACTTCAAATATGTACTTCTAATTCATGAGGATCATTTAGATGTTGGAAGATGAACTTTGAATATGTTTTTTCCTCCCTTTTGAGTAGAGTTCATATTGTAGATCTTACATGAATTTATCATGAAGATTGCATCTAACTTTATTTGAGTTGCCGATATGAGTTATTGACTTCGAAGGTATTAATTTGACTTAATTTTTTCATTGTGTTCTTTGTATCCATATTATTTTTTATAGTGGATCATCAGCTAGCATATTCCCTCAGTTTTACCCAGTTATGGGGTTTATACATAATCATGTATCTTGTGTTGAGCGATCCTACCTTACTTGATGAGTTTGTTTGGATTTAAGCCTTGATTCGAATTGAGATATTGACTAAGTAGTGCGAATAAAACACAAATTTGATGACATTTGTCTACACACACGAGCTGTAATAAATTTAGTTAATTGACATGGAACAAAATTCGTTCCATTGATAATCTGGCGAACTTTGTTACCAAATTTTTGCCGAAGTCCACATTCCAAAATATTTTGTATTATAACTAGATGCGTCGAATTTTAAAACGATTTGATTGAAGCATGCAGTTATCTAGAGCATCTAAAAGTATGCTATATATATAGTACGTATGTGCAATGTACTTTTCTTTCCTTCACCTAGGTTTTTATTCCACTCAGTTTTTCCTAACAAGGTTTTTAACTAGATAACATTAAGCGTGCCCAACGTGATACCAATGATCCAGACAAAGATGACACAAATTTTTCTCACATGTTTTGCCTTTATTCAGCTTAGTTTTGCTAGTAAGGTTTTAATTACAGTTGGGAATTTATAACCAAAAAAAACAAAGTCCTAATCAGCTAAACCAATCATGTATGTCCGGTTTGGTGTATTTTTATATTTTTTATATTTTATTTTAGAGTTTTGGAATTGAAAATATTTTATTTTGAGTGCTGCTAAACGAACCTAAAAATTAACCGAGTACACCATACTACAAAAATATATACTGAATTACTTATTTACCCTAATATAAAATGACCAAAAAGGATCTAGGGAATTGCGAAACAAATATAATTTTAATAAGTACACCATACTAACCATATTCACCCTAATCAAGAGATTACTTGGTGCCCATCTTTGTGATCCGCGAGTCAGAATAGCTTGGAGCAGATGAAACCTTCTTTCTTTCTTCTCAGAACTATTTCTTGGCAACTTGAATTGAACAACTTAAAAAGCAGCCCTCAATTCGGTGACACATCTACTAGATGTTGGCTATTTTTTAGAAGGGTGCTTTTGACTTGGTTGTTGTCAATATCGACTAGTTCTGCATATTGATTGGAGAGCTTAAAAAGTAGCCTTGCTGTTTCTTGATGTGAGTAAATAACATGAAGGTTTCAATCTATTCTGTACACTTTAGAATCCAATTAGTCTTTAATTTTGCATATAAGCTTGTATACATGGTGAAATTTTATTTTAGTTTATTGTTTCATGACATAACTTCATATAAATTAGTTCATTGATTATTAGATTCTATTTCCTCATCCTATGGTGAAATTTTCTCTTCTGTCGTGGCCTGAGGCATAGCTCAAGAATTATTGCCCTCTTTAGCCTTTCTACTATAAAGTAATGCTCCATTTGAATTGCTTATTTATTTATCTATGCATTTGGATTCCTGTCCTAAGGAGTTTCAAAGCCTCTTTTGTACTTTTGAAATTATGCATATTTTCAAATTGAGTTACTTTTGAAATTTTAGAATGGATGCTTCAGACATTTCTAGGGAGTAATCAAAAGAGGTATTAACTTTGATTTTTATTTTTGGTTTAGGCTAAAGCGTGCTTACCAAATAATGACGAATATGAGGGTTTTTTTTAACAGCATCCAAAAGATGTATCTAAGCAAGACACCGACATCAATAAACAATGTGTTTTAGACTACAAAAATGAATTTATCACAAACAAGGTAAATTAATGAATATTTATATATTTATTTTATAATTGCATACATTGATTTAATTATTAGTGATTTTACAGATATTTGTTAGTCATGATGTATTAATAAGATGGACTCGTGAACAAGGGAAAAGGAATGGCTTTGTGATTATCATTAAAATGTCTGATATTGGAGGAGCTGGTAAATTCAAGACCGGTCAAATTCTATTTTGTTGTGTGAGGGGTGGCCAATTTAGGGAAAACAAAAAAGTTTTGGAATCAGATAGCAAGACAATACATAAGCTTGATCAAAGTTCAAACCCTCCAAATCTACCAGTACGAAGAAGTGTAGTTACCCCTTTTCATTAAAGGGTGTGAACTGTGGTCCTGGAGATGCATGGCAACTTGAGGTTGTATGTGGAGTTTATAACCATCCTGCAGCACTAAATATGGAAGGGCATTCATATGCAGGGAGATTAACTGTGGAAGAGAATTTACTAGTGGTTGACATGTCTAAGAGTTTGGCTAGGCCAAAGGATATACTATATACTCTAAAATGTAGATATGGGTTGAATGTGACCACAATGAAGAGAATCTACAATGCCAGACAAAAAAGTAGGGTGATTGAGAAAGCAAGTATGTTAGAGATGCAGGTATTGCTACAAAAGTTGTTTACCCATGAGTATGTAGAGTGGCATAGAAGCTATGGTACCGCTAATATTGTAAGTGATTTGTTTTATGCTCACCCTACAAGTATTAAGCTACTGCATGCATTTCCTCATATTTTGATAATGGATTACACATACAAGACAAACAGGTTTTGCTATCCACTTTTGGAGATTGTGGGGGTGACGTCTACACATCTTACATTCTCAATTGCATTTGTTTATCTTAGTGCTGAGAAATAAGACAACTATAGATGGGCATTGGCTAGACTGAGGAGTGTTATGGATGATAATTCGATTCCTAGTGTTATTGTCATAGATAGAGAGTTAGCTCTCATGAATGCACTCCATAAAGTCTTTCCAGGTGTTTGCCATTTATTATGTATATGGCATATTAATAAGGGAGTCTTAGGAAAATGCAAAAATGTATTTGAAGACAAAGCTAGTTCAGACAAATTTTTAATTTCATGGAATATGCTTGTTTCTTCAAATACATAAGCCGAGTATGAAAGACATCTACTAGCCTTGCAGACCAACTTCAAAAATCACAATTTTGTCATCAACTATGTGAAGGAGACATGGTTGATTCCTTATAAAGAAAGATTTGTTACTGCTTGGATGAACACATGTATGCATTTTGGGAATACAACATCAAATAGATATTTATTATTGATTTTCAATTAATATTTATATAGCATACATTATATATTACTTCACATAAAACATGTTGCTATAATATACAGGGTAGAGACTGCACATGCAAAGTTGAAGAAACAACTTGGTAATAGCATGTGTACATTTGGAACATCATGGGACAAAAATTATCCTTAATAGAATTGCAACACATTGAGATAAAGACATCATTTGAGAAGAGTCTATCATTTGTGCAACATGACTGCAAGAAAGAATACTTCAAGGAGTTGATTGGTTTTGTATCTATTTCTACGTAGGATAATATTATGGTTGAGTTGAAGCGGTTAGATTATATTGGGGTTGATTCGATATCATGTGGCTGCATAATAAAACACACACACGGATTACCATGTGCACATGAGATGCAAGAGTTCAAATGGACTCATAGGCCCATTCCACTTGATTGTATTCATCCTCATTGGAGGAAGTTAGATTTTTTGGAGCCCAACCTACTGCTACACCGAACAATCCTCTAGAAAATGCACAGTTAGAATTATTTGTGAAGTGGTTTCAAAGTTGTAGTTCTGAGTCAAAGAGACATGTTAGTATGAAGTTACAAGAGATTATGAATCCCACATCTTCCACGCTTACACAACCCCAGGTGAAGATTAAAACAAAAGGTCGTTCAAAAGTTGACACATCTACTCGACATTTGCCTTCTGCTTTTGAGGTTGTCTTATTTGGTCAAGATAGTGCACACTCGACTGACAATGTTGTTACAAGACCGCCACGTAAGAAGTCAAAGACCATACCCCAAAAGCGATCAGTATGCAATAGTCAAACACAACCATTGCCATATGTGAATTCAAAGAAGTCACCTTCGAAGCTACTTGTAAGTAGTTACAATATTAAATTTGTATTCTGTCGTTTATATTGTAATTTGGGTGTAATTATAATATGCATGACTATAGGCATAAACCCATTGTAGATGACTCTTGCTTAACACCAGAGTTTAACAAGTGGTTTCCTAAACATATGTTGATACATATTAGAGGGGCACAAGATGCTAAGAGAAATGGTAATTGTGGTTTTAGAGCCATTGGATCATTGATGGGGTTTGGTGACAATGCTTGGGGCAAAGTACGCAGAGACTTGTGGAAGGAGTTGAGGAAAGAATATGTTATATACGAATTAATATTAAATGATAAGGAACGGGTACAACATATTGAGTATATGTTGGACTATTTTAAGGAATTTCCACTTCAAGATAGGTGGATGACTATACCAGATATAGGACACCTCACTACATCTTGTTATAATGTAATCCTCATGACTTGGTCAGTGCATTAGTCAGTTCCATTTTTTCCATATGAGACTGCTCCATTGGATTCTATCTATAGCCGTGAGATTTCTATTGGATTTGTTAACCACAACCACTAGATTAAGGTAAATCAATTAAGATGTTTATGCATATATATGTTTGCTAACTATTCTTTTCACATAACTTGATTTATTTAATTTTTTTATTTTACAGGTTTATTTGGAAGGTCAACACCCTATGCCACCAGTTGATGGGCATTGGTTGAGATGTGCAACCATAACTGCATCAGATTGGCTTATGCCATATCAGGATCCTATACGTCATTTTAGATATGAAGCTGGTGTAGCAGACCCTTATGATAATGACCCTATATTTATTGAGTAGTTTTTTGAAGCATCATATTGGTGACATTAAGTATTATTTTCATTTCCATTATACCATTGGCAGTTCTTGTTTTGTAACATAAATATAATAATTATGATGGCTTTTTGCTCATTTGGCTTCTTTCAGCACAAAAAATGTTATGAGATAATTTGTGCTTAATTTCCCATTTGTCCTATTGTGTTTTTAACGAAAGAGGTGGTGATTGCAAGAACTTGGAATTGCAAAAAAAAGTGTTAACAATTTTAATAGAAGCATAAATCCATATGAAAAGTCAAATATTTATAAACACTATTAAAAAAGTCAAGCTGAAAATCAACTATAAAGTAATGCTACAAGTATTAGGGTGTACCAGGGGTATTTTTGGTAGTTTCATAGGGTGTACTTAGTTAATTTTATATTTTGATTAAAATATTAGGGTGTACTTAGATCATAAGGTGTACTCAATTAATTTTAGGGTTCATTTAGCAGCAATCTTTATTTTTTATATTTTACCTTAATCCATTCATTTGAAAATGCCACTAAATATGCTAATGCTATCACATCCTTTTGCATTCTCTCAACCTCCCCCCTCTCTCTATCTCCTCGCCACTTATTGTCATTCGTCGCGTCATTAAAGACCTCACCACGATCTACAACAATCTCTCTCTATATCTCTTCCTCATTCCTCCTATCTTGTCGAATCTGCTCCAATTGTCCCAAATATCATCGAATATATATATATATATATATATATATTTTAATCAAATAGAAACTTCATTAGATAAACTTCAACGGTACAATCAAAGACATCTAAAATACCAATCCCAATAGGGCAACAAACTAACATGCTAAAAACAAAACTAATGCAGACCAAAACTGCACTAAAACTACGAGCCCGCATCACCACAATTAGCCATAAACCCAAACAAAACTCACAAACCCAACATAACCAAAACCCTCAATCAACCCATGATCCTAAACGAACCCTACCACCACCTCCTGAAGAAGCGTCGTCGCGGCCACACCCACCACTGCATCTGTAACAGATCTGGGGAAAATATGATTCCCGTGATCTTCTTGCGCATAAGAGTGAACAAATAAACGAAAACAATAACTTTGCCAAAGAACAATTAGGTGATTTGTAGCAACCTCCATCAAAGACGATGTAGAATCAAATTTAAAGCAACGTCAGGGAGCGGGTTTTGGGAGTAGGATTTCATTGAGAACATAGACTAAAATGGGTGATGGGGAACTTCAATTTAATCATGGCTTGGAAGAAACCACCACAAGAGGTTTTTTTATTCAAAATGCCCTAGTGGACTTATTCACCAACCTAAAAGGAAAAGACGAGAAGAGATGAGGGGGAGAAGGGACAGTGACGCTTCTTCCTCCTCGCCTCTCTATGGACTTTTCCTTTAGGACTCATAGAGCGAGAGAGCGGCTGTTAATTGGCACACTCAAATGTTGTTGGATTATCATTGAATATAGTTGAAACTCCTTTAGTCTTTGTCGAATCTCCTTTCACATGCATCTCGTTAGCACTACCACCACTGACCACAACCAATTCGATTTTGTAATGAAACGATTGTTGTCAGTAGAGCCTCCATTAGGTCGACATCAATCATGGAAGTTTCCTTGCCGACGTAGTTAGTTTGATGGCCAATTTTGATCAACAAACCAACCAATTCAAACCATTCTACCCATAACTTTAATGAGTCCCATTATGGTTAATTAGTGAGTCAACTCATTACTCTCGATACTAAGTCATATATCGATGTATTTATTGGAGATAATATTCTCTAAAGAATATCTTCATTGTTCTTGTTATTTAGCCACTCTAGTACTCGCCCCAACTACTAGTATGATTATATATATATATATATATATATTCTCTTATGCGGATATCCGAATGTTATTATTGTGCGAACAATATGTATTTTCTACTACCCCTCTCTGCTTTCTTACCTGTTTACAAGCATTGGCGAAGCCAATTAAGGCCCACAAGGGTCACTTGACCCTTCTCAACATTTTGAAAATATAATATTTATCTCTGTTATCCAAATTGTTTTTATAGCTATACTTACTATTGACCCTTCTCACAAAAGTAAATTGTCTACAATAAACATGAATATGATCTATATTTGTTTTCATGTCTTCATATGTCATTTATATGTTTGTGTCATATATTTTATTTTATTTTCTCATTCTATTTAAAATCAACTTTTGATACTCTTTCATTATTTTTAGGTTGCTAGAATTTGGGTTATATTTACTAAGATATTAAATTTTTGATATTGAAATTTAATCATTATAATGAATTCTTATATATATTTTCCTATAAAAATTAAGTTTATTATAACTATAAAGCTATTTAAAGTTGACCCTCCTTGATAGAATTCATGGCTCCGCAACTGTTTATAAGGGCGTCCGCACAAGTCAGAATAAGAGAAAAACTATATATATATATATATATATATATTGCCAAAGTAAACATTCTGAAGACTTGGTATGAGCAAAAGATACAACATGGAGTGTGTAGAGGGAGAATTTTACATGAAAACTAAGAGTGTGTTTGGTTCGTGGGAAATGAGGCTTGGGAATGGAAAATCTAGTAAGTCTAGGCATGGAAAATGTTCGCCTCTCTCATGGGAAAATATGGGGGGAAATGAGACCCTCCACCCCCTTGGGTTTCATTTTCCCTTTCCATCGGAAACTAGGCCCATCATTAAATGTACTTTTTCACGACTATTTTTCATGATCATTATGTTCTTATTAACCATTTAGAATTACAGTATAACATTAAATGCATTCTTCTTTTATTTTATTTAGTTCATATTTCTAACATGGGTATAAATGAAAACTTAAATAAAGTTTGTTTTACATTCCTTCACGAATCAAACATTGGTAAGGAAATAAAATAGTATTTCTTGGTTACTTTCCCAACATTATTAATATTATAATTTATAAATGATTCTTATATTTTTTATTTCTTTATTCGAACCGAACGAGACTTGAGGGTGGGCAAGAGCTCGAGCTCGAGGCATGCAATCAATACATTCAACTTCAACCGGGCCGTGCGCAGATTTACGAGGTGGGCCCTCCTTTTAACGCATTTTCTTAATTAAATTACAAACCACGAACCAAATTCATGTTTTTGTTTTGGAAGTATGTGACTGAAAAACTGCATGATTAGTGAGAGATAAGTAAGATTAACGTACAAGTTAGTGGGCCTCACGTGCTCATGTTTATGTGTGTCTTTTTGATGAAGATGTTTCTGTGTGTCTTCCTTTTGCTAAATTTAATTGTTTTTTTTTAATGGACTTTGTCTTGTAATAATTGTCACGGGAGAGTAGGATGTGCAATTAAGAATAAATGGGTTTTCTTTCTGACCTAAACAAATGAGAATGGATGAACGTGGGCAATTGGGAAGATCGTAAAAAAAGGGAGACATAGGCGAATATTTTTGTCCTGTTATTCTTGTAGAAAATTATAAACTCTACTTTGAAATATATATATATATATATATATATATATATAGAAACCTCAAATGTTAACTCGTTAGTAAAAAAATATGAGGCTATCCAATCGTTTAAGCTCCTCATGATATCATCTCATAATTGGACTCGTTTATTTTTTATGTCATTAGTCAAAGATCATCTTTACAAAAATTTAGTCAAAAAAAGATGCATCACATGTAATTCCTCTAAGAATGGTAGTCTTAAAAGCACGGAAACGAAACATATAAATTCACCTCAACCGTCCATGAGCTACTCGAACCTTTTATCTGTTTAATTAGTTTACAATGTGAATATGCATTAGGATAATTCTTAAATATCTTTCTTATGTTAACTAACAATTTTTTCTTTCTTTCTTTCGTATTGCAAAGAGAACTTATTAACTACCATAGCATGTTTTTGTTCATATTTCAGAACAATGGACTAATACTTACCACGAGTTTTAACATCCGTATTGTGTGTATGAGTTTAGTGTATTATTGCTCCTCTTAATACAAAAAGTCCTTTAAAAAAAAAGGCTTATAATTAATTAGCAAAACTCTCTTCAGCACTGTTTTAGTAATAAATATAGACACACACAGTTTACAACCATACAGATCACAAACGTACATCGTAGTACCATTGTATAGACATGTTCGTACGTATACACAATTCTAAGAATAAGATGCTTTCATCAGTTTATTTTATTTTTATTTGTAAAATTGTGCACTTCGAAAGTTTCATATACATTTAAAAAGTCTTCATTCTCGATTACTACTACAACACCAATATTTTTTAATACCACAAACAAGAAATACAAGAAATTATTAATTCCTTTGTGCTCGTGGACTGAATTTTTTTAAATATTTTTTTTTTTTTGCCAGCTGCATATGGCACATAATGCCAGCATCTATAATTTATTGGGTCAAATGCTAATAGTTAACTCCTACGATCTGTCCAATTCCAAGTGTATCGAGTTGGCAAAACAAATATTTTCTATTTTCTTTGTGCCACTTGAATGTATGTGACCCTCGGCTTTCGGGTGTGTTTTTATAAAACTAAAAACAAAGCAGCATGACATCCCATGCATGCATCCATTCCCAATTATTCCTATTCAAAAACAACAAAAAACCATAACTTTGAGATCAAAATTTTTAAAATGGAAGGAACATTGAGATGGTTTGAAGTTTTAGCAATACCCATTTTCAACTAATAGCTACATTAGGATATCATTGCTTAGCTAACAAAGTCTAGTCCAGTGAAAAGGAGTCTTGATTTGCAAATCAATGGTCCCAAAGTTCGAACCCTCATAGGACCTTGATGTGTGTGTGAGATTCTACTCTCCTCTTATAGTTTAAATGATCGATTTGTTTATTAAAAGAAAAAAAAAGAAAAGAATATCATTGTTTAGATTAGGAGTTTAATGTGATTAGGTCATTAATCATTTGTTTTAATGACATCTACTGATCATCGAGGAGCTCCTGAGTTCAAGTCTCATACAATTCTATTCTTTACTTCTATTTTCTTGCAAATATCATGTGCATAGTCAAAATTAGTCCAATTCAGACTTTCGTTTAACTTTCTTTGTAATAAATCTTAAACCTAACCCTAAACCAACCGTCATTTTGGCGATATATAGAGTATAAACACTAGAAAATATATATAAGTAAAGATGGTTTTTTTTTTTTTTTTTTTTTTTTTTTTTTAAAATTTATAGTATTTTCTTTTGGAATAAGGTGATAAATATCATGTGACAATTGTAGATAACATTTCGTACATTTATTCTGGCTAGTAAAAATTGGGTGGGCCATGTTAACTTGGTGAATTCACAGCAGTAGAGCAAATGCATTCGGAATTTCTCATTTGAGCTCTTTTGTGTTTTGGCACACTCAGATAAGTTTGTCTTATGCACCATCAAGGAAAAGTCCAATTCGGAAACATGATGGGCTCCAAATTTGTACAGAAAGGCCATTGGATTGACCACTTTTGAGAGAAGATGGAAACTGTAAAGGTGTAATAATGCACTCCAATCTGAATAGAATCAGTGATATTTGGCAGGCATACAAACATGAAGGTACGGTGGAATATAATTGCATCATGGTTTCTGCAAGATACCATAGGAAAGCTCCTCTTCATGATTGCAATCTATTGCACCCCTTGCTGCTCCTAGCCATGGACATAACAGTAAGTGAAGGCTTGGTTACAGTGGCTTGTTAGGAAAATGAAGTCTGAATCCATCTAGTTTTTAATCAGTGGGTTCTATTTGTACCATCGATGAAAGTCCAATGTTCAGAGGGGCAAGAGACGGTTATTGATTAGGGGTGGGTATGGTCCGGATTGGATCAATTTTACCTTATAGCTCCGGTCTAACTGATTATAATAAAATGGTATGATTCTGTTTGGTTTTGACAAAAATCATTGAGGAAATTGAAATAAACCAAACCAATTTTTGAACGGTTGGGCGTAAGTAAAATGTTTTTTTCTATTGCATTTTTTTGACTTCGTTAGCTAAGTAAAACCAAAAAACAATATTATAACTTGCTACGTATGTATTATTTTCTAGCAAATCAAACCATCCTTAAATTCAACATATCATCAAACTTTAAATTTCAATAACTAATATAATTACAATTCAAAGATCAATAGCTTCAAAGTTCCATCAAACTTTAAAGTAAATATCCTTACCTATTTATTATCCAATAAGAAAACTATGTGTGTTAAATAAAATAAAATAAAAATAAATATACAAGTGGGCAGTCCGTTAGATTTATGCCGATTTGCAAAACCTCAAAAATCATAACCGAACCAAACCATAAAGGTCCTATTGGATTTTAAAACATTTGACTTTTGTCTTAGTTAAAACCAAACAAAACTAGCCATGATGGTTCAAATCAGTTGATTTAGTCGGTTTAGCTGAATTGATCTCCACCCCTATTATTAGTGGTTGGTTGATGTTATGAACTTAAAGATTGAGAGTTGATTTAGTCGGTATCTTTTTTTCTTCGTTTTATTGATATAGGTCTCAAGTTCGAATATCCCTCGCTCATATTAAAAATAAAAGAGGTAATTTCAATTTAATACCTTGAACTCTCACCCTTAAGGTATGTTTACCCATACACTCTCCATTTTAACAATCATGTACCCTAATCATTTTCATTTTTTTGCAATATGGTTTCGGCGTTAACTTCACCGTCAAATTTTTCTTTAATTTTCTACATAGTAGGCCTAGGTCCCACCTATTCGCTTCTTTTAATGTCAGTTGAAGGGTATTTTCAAGTAAATGGTATCTTTTGCAAGTACTATTGTTAAAAAACTATGACACATTTTCTGCAGGTTTGGGCGGGAAGACACCTATTGCCTGAAAAATACCCTTCATCTAACCCAGGCCCACCACGTAGGCAATTAAAGGACATTTTGATAATGAAGTTTACAACAGAACTAAATTGTGAAAAATTAAAAAGATTAGGGTAAATGACTGTTAAAATTGAGAGTGCATGGGCAAACCTGCCTTGAGTGAGAGTTCAGGATACGAAATTGAAAGAGTGCTACTAAACGAACCCTAAAATTAACTAAGTACACCCTACTATCAAAGTATTTATTGAATTACTAATTTACCCTAATATAAAATGACTAAAAAGGATATATTGAATTGTGAAACATGACACCACATATTTTTAGAATGTAATTAGATCATAGAGTGTACTCAATTAATTTTAGAGTTCATTTAGCAGCACTCAATTGAAATTAACGCAAAATAAAAAATGTAGAGTGATGTTTGCAAATAAATCGTTCTTTTAATATTGTAAGGTTCAAGGCCCAAGTTCAAGACGCAAGCAGCTCGCGTAGGATTGGCTCTTCAGGCCTAACACACTTGTTCAATATAGGCTGGGCAGGGGACATAATATTAGTTAGGGCCACTACGCTATTCATTCCAAGCCCATGGACCACTTCAGGGAGAGGAAATACTAAATGAGCCCTATCATAATATCATTGACAAATATGATATTATGAGATTTCTGAAGTAGTTATTTTGAGAGGATGTATTCAACTTAGTTTTTAAATGATTTTAAAAAAGTTATAAAGTTGATGGAGTTTAATTGAATTTAATTGAGTTTGACTAAATTCTACAAACTTCACGTAGATTTTGACTAAATTCGTGTATAGATTTTAACTGAGTTTGTTATAATTTTATTATTAATTTTAATGGAGTTTATAGCGATCGCGGGCGGTGGTTATGGCGATGGCAGTGATGATGGTGGTTTGTGGGGGAGGTAGTGGTGGAGGAGGTGGGAGTGGTAGTGGTGGTGGTGGTGGGAGTGAGGTGGTGAAGGTGGTGGTGGAGGTGACGGTGGCAGTGATGGTGGTGGGGCTGATAGTAAGGGTGGTAGTGGTGGTGGAGGTGGGGGTAAGGGTGGTGGTGGAGGTGGTGGCGGAGGCAATGATGGTCATGGTGGTGGCAGCGGTAGTGGTGGTGGTGGAGGCAACAACGATGACTGTGGTGGTGGTGGCAGAGGCGGCGGCGATGGTGATAATCATGATAAGATGGTAGTAATAGAAGTAGTGAAATCATATCTTGAAAATAAAAATAATATATCTATCAAAATCTATAGGGGAAAGCAAAAATTTGTCATGGCCTAAAATTAGTCTATTATCAAATGAAATCCGCTTTTTGTATTTCTTTTAAAATCAATGAGTTTTTTTAATACACCCAAACTTTTATGAAGTCTTTTAAAGTCGTGATTGAATACATCCAAATTAGAATGTTGTTTAAAAAGTTTGAATTGAATACGCCCAAAATTGAATAAACTTCTATAAAATCATGATTGAATACACCGAAACTTTTAAACTTCTTTAAAATATTTTAAAATCTAAATTGAATACACCCAATAAGCAACCATTGATTACTTCATCCCATCATGTCCCTCTAATTAGCTAGAAAAGAAATCTTAATCCCAAGGAAAGGAGAGCAGAAATCAAAATCCATGATTGATTTAGAAAACTACAATAGAAAAAGTGAAAGCTGTGCAAAAGTTGGTAATAAAAATTGCTGAAATAATTGCTTTATTCATTAGGCAGTTTATATATTAGCGAAAGCAGGAGGCTAGGCTGATCAACAAAAAGGGGCAATCAAGCCCATGCATCATGCTTATTATCCTATATATCCATCCAAACACTGCCAAAGACATGAATACACAACCACAGTGCAGCCAAAGGTTACAGAATTATAATATACAGAATGGTCTACCAGAAGAAGTTATTTAGGTGAGATGAAGCTTGCTGTGAATCTTGATCAAGATCGTGCGATGGAGAATGCACGTGCCGCCCTTCGTAGGTTGTGATCACCATCCTCGGGTCCTCGGCTAATCGCTCCACTCTTTTCTTTACCCGGCAGTTGTCCATGGTGCAACGATAATAGCTCCTGCATTTGCATGTACATATGCATGCATGCACCAAAAAGTAATTCAAGAAACTTTGAAGCAGCTTGATAAACCTAACTAAATAAAACATGGTCATATAGAACCAAGCAAATGCAAGCACACAAATATCTCATCTCATCACTTCAGAAAAGCATTGTCTACAGAAAGATCTCAGAAAGATCTTCGACAGAGCCTTGTAGCTAGCTAGAATGTTAGGTCTCAAAACTTTGATGAGAGCTTCGTTGCCTTTTAGGAAAATGAAATCATAAGAGGACTAGTTGTGGGACCTACATTTAACCCTGAAATTCCAAGCCCAAAATACTATTTCTGCTTTACTTTAGCCAAACAATTTAATTAAACACAATAAGCACTCACCTGAAAACTGCACATGTTTTCTTATGATGCAATGTTGACTAACCGATCCAAGTCTTGGTCTTTTCTGGTTACAACATGTCTGGCTTTCCGATAATTTTATAATACATATACAGGTAAATGTGTTTTTTTTTCCAAACTCATATTGTCGTACAACTATTTATATTGTCAGACTATGAATTTAAGCAACCTAATTAATGATGACAGTATGAATATAAGCGTCTTATATTGCCAAACAATGGACAAGGAGTACATGACATATCACCATTAAATCAAATATCATCCAATGATCTAAGTCAAGGATCATGCATCTAAAGAATTCCAATTCTTACATGGATATTCCTTACCGATAATGAGGTACTCCTTGTGAATTACAGTTTGACATATACAAAAATAATTCATCAAAAACACAAAAAGAAAAACTTCTGCACACATGTCACACTGCTATTAGCAGGAATGTAGGAACTCTTACTTACCTGATAAGGAGGGAAGTATGTTCCTTCTTCCATAGCGATAATTAGTGTATAAAACTTTGGTCTCTTCACTCATTATATCCTATTTCAATATTGTAGGTTGAATGCTCAAAGCTTATATAACTCAACTGTATATCAGATATTTCTATCAGAGGAGACAATTCATTCACATGTCTTGATCAGTAGTACACATGCTCCACATAAGTTAACAAACCCAGCTCTAAAAAGGTTTATAAACTCAGAAAAAGTTAAATTAAATCCTAGTCAAGTTCAGGTAGGGGTGGGGAAGGATTTCCATTTCATGCAAGATATTCTACTCTAATTATAAGTCCAACTTTTGACTATTTTGTGTATAGCTTTGAACACCATAATTATTAACTCTTGGAAACCACATGACACCAGTAAATTCAACAAATGAGGCATATGATTATGCAGGATATATATACGCTCACATTCAACGTTCAAATCATTTCTGTGGAATTTTGCTGGACTTAATTTCAACTCCTATGGTGACTCACACCCGGATAGATATATACATACGGCAAGCTCCAAACATGTTAATTAAGTCAGCAGATTAGTCTAAATTGAAAGAAGATGCCACATAATTAATCAATAGTACTTGGTTGACAATGACACTTAGATGTACGACATCAGAAATTTTTCAAAATGCACACCATATGTAACTTAAAAAATCACGAACCACCATCGTAGGCCAACATCCACAACGCAATTTCATGATCCGAACTGTCTTATAATCAAAGTGAATTCAATAAAACTTATGATGGGAATGATCAAATAGCTAGTCGATTATTTGATAAATTTTTGTAGGGGATGATGACCTTCCTCGCAGGAAGGAAAGACCTAAAAACGAACATTTAGATGATGAAAACACATTGTGATCTGGTGGCACCAAAACTAGTGATTTGTGCTGTTATAAATTATTGGTGTGCATTTGAAAATTCCTCTATCTGACATATCATGAAGGTAACTTGTAGAAATAGTAGCAATAAATACCCAACGCATGCATGATGCACCCCTTTCTAAACCATGCAAGTAATAATGTGCCCATGCTTTCCTAATTTTGGTACAACCTAGTTTTGCAACCAATAATTATAATCAAATTACCCTAATTCTTATGATTAAACATGGCCAATGAAATGGATTGAAGCTCCACCACATGTACAGTACTTCTCCTATTCTGGTGATGATTTTTGTCCTAGTACTAGCAGCTTTCTTCTTCTTTTTCATGGAATCCAATCTTAGGGACGTACATTAAATCAATATTCCAAGAAAAAGTGATTTTAGAGTACTCATTTCCGGCAATATCATCCGCCCCGTAATAATTTCGCTTCGGCATCTATGGGATTAAGAAATTTTTTGTTTCCTTTTATAAAGCATTATAATTGATCAATCTTTGCACAGTATGTTGGTGTTTCGTGATCTTTATATTATGAATTTTATCTCCAAAAGTACTAATAATTAGTTCTTTTTGGAAATGGCATTTGCAAAAGGCTCTAAAATATTACAAGTGCATTAATAGTTAACCATCTTCTTTTTTCTTTTTGGTCGGAAATATTATTACTGTACTTATCAATATTGTAAATTATTCAGACCCATCTACCCGTCAAATCTCCAGCGCCAAGCCTGTAAAAGCCTAATGATAATAATGATAACAATGACAATAATGAGAGAGAGAGAGAGAGAGAGAGAGAGAGAGAGAGAGAGAGAGAGAGGAGCACATCATGTGTATGGGGTACAACTAGAAGCTAAAATCCAATTTGACATGCAATAAACTTTTGCAGAAGATGTGATTAAAGCAAAAGAATTGAAGAAAAAGAGAAAAGAAAAGGAGAGACGAGTGTAGAAAATGTGAATTGTCTAATTAGTATACCTGGGATGCTGTGTGTTCTTTACCACTTTCTGTCCGTACTTCCTCCACTTGTATCCATCATCAAGCACATCAACCTCACTCATGGTTTTGAAGCAAAACCTAGGCTCCCTCACCTTCCTCCTAATTGCCTTCATCTTCTTCATCTTCATTGCTGAAACTCCCATATGGTGATGGCGATCATCTCCACCGTTTGATCTCTTGCTGCTTAGGCACTCATGATCATCGCTCACCTCTCCCCATGCCCTAGACCATATGTACCAAAACATGTTTATACTTTTAATATTCTTAGTTTTACATGAGTAATTGTATTGCATGCAAGAGAATTCAATTCAAAAAGGAGATCAAGATTCAAGACTACATATATAATCACTTGATGTGGAAATTAAGTGTGATATTAGTTATATTATTTTACCAGAGATTTGCAGTGGATCTTTGCAAGGAAAGGAGTTGGGATCCTCCAAAATCAGAACTAGTAGTGATGTTAGGATCTTCTCTATGCTTTAGAGGAGTGAGTGATGGGAGTAGGGTTTCAGAGAGATTGGTGCTTGAAGGTATGCTAGAAGAACCGAAGGCTTTGAGAGATCCCAATGAAGAAAAGTTCAAGTTTGGTGGGATTGAAAAGAAACCCATCTGTGCATTAGAACCCTCTTCATTCTCAAACAAGCCCTGCTGCTGGCTGAGCATGGCCTGGGACGTCGTAGATGCCATCTCTCTCTTTCTCTCTCTCTCTCTCTCTCTCTCTTCTTGAAGGGTGTAGAAAATCGATGAGAGAATAATCCAAGGAAATCTATCTAGGAACGAGTATTAGCAGAGTCTAGATTAAAAGCACACCAAGAGGCTCTCTCTCAAACTTCAAGGATATATAGATTGAAAAAGGGAATTATATACCAAGATTTGAAAGTAACCAAATACCTATAAATTTAACATGACTACCACTTTCCCTTGTTGCGCTTCCTCTCTCTCTCCCCCCCTCTTTTTGTGTGTGTCTAAAACACCCTTTCAAATTTAAGGATGAAAAATTCAGAATATAAAACAATAAAGGAGAAAAAAGTGTGATATTATAATACTGAGACAAAGACTTTAACATTTTCAACTGAAGCTGGTGGTTTGGATTTTGGAGTAATATGTGGAGTGGCGAAAACCATGTCGCCATTTGACCTCAAAAGTATGGGATATATGTACATGTCTCACAAGAAGTACTTGTTAGTGGAATTTCACTGTTGTTTTTGTGTGAAGGTCAACAATAGAGGACAAGTAAATGTGAAATATAGCTGGTTTATTTGCATGCTTAATTATAAAAAAAGTTGTCGTTTTTCAAACATGGGCTTAGTCAAGTTTGGTAGAGTGAATGTGCTCTCCACTCTGCACCCGAGTTTAAATCCCCTTCCCCGCAATGTAAATTAGATTAAAATAAAATATCGCTTGTATTAAAAAAGAAACAAGAAAAAAAAGTTGTGTTTATGATAAGGTTGCATGAAAAGTTTGTCCAACCTCTGTTGTCGTGGATGGTTACATTGGGTTGGGGGAGGGAGGAAGGGGGGGACTGAATAAAAGTTAACATAGATGAGTAGACAATAATAGAACAAAGATCTGAAATATAAGTGTGCATACAAGTGAAAATTAATTATATCATTCACTGCAAAAGCTTTCAAAAAGAAAAAGCTTACTGAGAAGGTCATTATAATTCATGTATCTATCAATTTCTAGGTTTCTTTTGGACAATTTTTTCTAGGGTTTCTTTTGGGACACCAAAAAGAAAATATTTAGAGGGCAATGATGATGAATCTTGGGTGCAAATCTACCCCCTCTGCATCGGCGGTGAAGATATCATTATGATTTGTGAAAGAGGCCCTATTTGACTTTTTGCAGAGAAAAAGCTTCTCACCTTTCTAATCTCCCTTTTGCAATTAACTTTCTTTTATGCCTCAACCAACCCCACATCTACCACACAATTTCTCCATTTCCAAACCACCGTATCATATTGTTATCATCTCTGCAATTAGGCACGGTAATCTTTGATGACCTTTGTGATCATCTCTGCAATTAGGCATGGTAATCTTTGATGACCTTTGTTTGACCCAAAAAATAAAAATAAAAATAAAAAACTTTGACGACCTATAATGTGTCTTTTGTACTTCATCCGTTTGTTAAACTCAGATAACATGATTAACTTATAACCCCATTATGTTAATACAAGTTTATGATTCATGACTCAAGAGATCATTAAAGAAAATGCAAAAGATATACACATATATATATATATATATATATAACTATCTAATATAGGCATCGCATATGATGGTTAGAATGATTTATCATTCAAACGACTAATTGCTTGCAGGTTGGGAACTTGCAATGATGTATTATGTAACACGCAAGATAGGATTATGGTTACATAATTACTTATTTGAAATGGACTTATAAATTTTTGACTCAAATGTTTTGACCTTCATAATTAATTTTCTTAACCACTAAACCTTTTCTCATTTGGAATTTATTAGTTTTCCACTGTTGAGTTCCAAATGAGTTTTATACTTCAAAACAATAATGTTCAATTCATAAGTTTATTCACCAAAATTTTACCAAATGACGTGTCAATATACGGGTCAATGCCTTACTTTCTAGTAAAAATTAATATTTAAATCATACAAACTTTGTCACATTATTTGGTGAATAAAATTTGAAGATCAAATTTGGTACTCAAATGAAAATATAAAAGAGCGATTGCATATCCTATTCTAATGATTATTTGGTCCTAAATTCAAATTTCATGGATGATAACTGTATAATAATAATAATAATTCACTAATCTTATAACTATAACTTTATTATTTAATGTATGAATTTTGACGTTTCTAAAGATTTTGTTTTTTTCTTCTATACATGAGATATTGAGGGAGGGAAAATCAAACCTAAGACCTCGGGTGCATGAGTAAATGCTCTAAACCGCTTAAGTTAGTAAGGTCAAGGCCAACAAGGTCTAGCCCAGTAAAAATGGTCTTAACTTGAAGATCAGTGGTCTCAAAACCACCATGACACCTCATTTTCCCTTGTAGTTTAGACTTTCTCTTTTATTCCAAAAAAAAAGAAAAAAGAAAATTAAAGTGCCTTACTGGGCCATTGCATGAACATACATACCTAAGTTCTCTTTTCTTTTTCTTTTTTTCCTTTTCCTTTGTCGTTGGCATGACTTATTATTATGATACCCAAATCTTTTTTTTTAATTAAATTTTTTATGCATGACTTAATATTATGATACCTCAATCATTTTTATTTTATTACCTTTCTATTGGTGTTAATTTTACAAGTGCAAATGTTTCTTCTTCTTCTTCTTCTTTTTAAAATTTTAATCAATGAGGGTTAAGAATTTGAATTTGGAATTTCTTTTAATATTGGCATTACGTGACATGGCACTACACGATTGAATGAGAGAGATGCTGACGCAAATTCAAAACGGCGTCATTTTGATACTACGTATTCTCGGGTTGCAAATCTATAGTGCCATTCATCTCAGTTGTTGATATCTTGTCAGCAAGAAGATCTTGGCCGTTTATTCAAATGACATGTTGTTCACTTAAGTGATGCTGTCGTTTCTCTTCGATAATTGACGCAATCTTGACTATTGATCAGATTTTTTTATTACGATCCAACATACTAGATTTCACCGCCCCAAAAAATTAATCTCAACCTTCCATTCTTATATTGCCCCAATCCCTTAAAAATAAAAAATAAAAAATATCCATTTTTTATTGTTTTTTCTTTGGTGTTTCTCGCTCTTCCTATTTTTAATTTATTTTATTATTATAGAGAAATGAAATAGATTGCATTCATAATTTAGGCATAAAGGCGAGCCACAAGGACCAATACAAATACAAACTAACCACATAAAGTTTATACAAATATGGAAGCATAATAACTACGAGGGGTTAATCCAAATAATGCGGAGGAGTCTAAGTACACAAGGTGTACTTCCACTCATAGCCACGCCAAGCCTAACAAATTACAGCCAAAAAACAGCAATTAAACAAGACTAAAACATTATATTATTAAGTAATGTTTTAGTCTTGTATAATTACTTTATGGAGTTTAAAATTAATAATTTATTTAAATTTTATTTAAAAACAGATTTAATTTTTTTAAAAAGTATTTAATTCCAAAATTGATTTTATTTCATTCCAAAGTATTTAAAATAATTCTTAAAAAATTATTTTAAATATCCAAAAAAATTTTAAAAATTAATATTGGAAAAGGAAGGTAGTTCAAGTGCAGAAAAGCTAAGAAAAGAAAATTGTTCAAAACTAGAAAGAAGGATACAAATTTAAACGAAGGTCTGTGTGTCTCAAGGGAGCCAAAACTAGAGTCCTAGAAAGAACAGTATGTATTTTCTTTTAAAAAGGGAAAGAAAAGAATGTGTGTTGAGAGTGAGACGTTTAGAGAATTTAAATTGGATTTAAATTGGTTGATTGCTGGCGTGGGGGTGGCGTAGGTATGATGTCAGAGGGATACTTAGAAAGGGAATAAAATCTATATCTAGGTTCGTGAGTTAGGAGATGAAGAGAGAGAGAGAGAGAGGAGTGGGGTGGCAAACAGACATCATTTCTTTTTGTCTCTGTTTATAGGTTGTCATAATTCCACTCAGATTACATCCCCCTATTTTATATTTTCATCGACTTTTCTTTCTTGCTTTTCCTCTCAAAAAGCCAAAACAAAGGGGAAAATAATTATAAGGGAGCCATTTTGGCCTGGCCTTGGACACAATTCTCCGTACAAAAAAATTCTTTCATTTTGGTTTTTTTATTTTTTGCTTTTTGTATGACAAATTCTCACATCTTTTGCCAAAGTTTAATTACCATGTACAGTTTTTGGGCTCCAGTGGTGGGCAATGGCATGTAGCATTATGATGACCTGTGTTGTGGCAAAAGAACATACAAGTTATTAAAACTGACGGAGGAAATCTTTACTTTAAGAAACAAAAAAAATATTATGTTAGGCTTTTAGTGTGCTAATGACCTTAAATTCAAAATTTAAAAATGGAAGAGGCCTAGATTATAATGTCGTTATGTGCAGGTTTAGCATGTGATGATGTCCCATTATACTGGTGAATTGTTGTTGTTTCTATGTTTTCTTTCAAGTCTCGTAAGTTAATTTGTTCGTACTAAAGTCCTGGAGATGCTTACATAAGTGCTCGTAAGTTATTTCTATGTATTTCTTAATTTCCTAGGTTTTGGTTGGCTGTATGGGAAAGAGGGTGTTGTATCAGAGGTTGTTGTTCCCTCTAAAAAAAGGTAGGCTACTTGGTTAGTTCAACGACCATGCCTTTAGAAATGCTCACCTAATCATCTTGACCTTTATCCCCATAATTTGTATCCAATACCTCTTTCAATAATATTTTATCGCTATTTTCTCAATTAAAAAAAGTCATAATGAATGTTATTTGTCCTCTCAATTGCAATCTTGCACTCTTTTATTTTTAATAATTTTCGATCGTGAGATTTGAACTCGTTAGTTTCTCCAACAAGGTGAACATTAAATGCTCCTAGACCAAATAATTATTAGTAAAAGTGCAAAAATATTGTTAAGCTCAAGCATCGTTTCTCATTTTTATTGGTTTAGGTTTAAATTTAAAAAAATAAAAAATAAAAAATTTGATACTAGACTTTTTTTCTTTGAATATACTCGATAATCTAAACTACAAGAGAAGAAGGAAAATATTTGAACCTAATTAAGAAAATGGATTTATTAAAAATGCATGTGTATTTATGGTATTTTGGTGATGGATTTGTAACAATATTTCACCCAAATACCATAAATATACGTGGAGTTTCTAGCATCAAACTGTAGAGGACTTTATTTCATACCATGATATGGGGTCGAAACTTGCCCTCTCCTCCCTCCCCTGAATTTACCAAAAATAAATTCTTATATACAATTTTGCATGATAGGTAAATGGAATAAAATGTAGGCTAAGAAGAGAAAAAAAAAAATTACAATAAAATGAAGCTAATTTGAAGATATACCGATACCTTCTGGAAGTAGGGCCGAAGGGCTAATTTTGTGGTCCATTGAACTTCACAATTGCCGTCGCAATTCTAATCATTACCTTATCTAGACATTTCCCTAATTTTTTATTTTATTCTCCCATATTTGTAATTTCTTAAATTCGTGTTAAATTAAAAAAAAGAAAAGCTTGCCACTAATACTAAATGACCTTAATTAGTGAAAAGAAAAAAGAATAAAAGTAATTACCACAACTATTTTTATGAAGACGGGCATAATTTAGTGATAAGGTTGCCCGTCCCTCCCTGTTAGAGTAAACTGTCAAAATCCCCTCTTAATTTATAATTAAATTTTTTCTTTATTTGTCCCCTAACCTTTTTTCTTAGAATAATTGTTTCTCCCCTACCCTTAATTTTCCTCACATTCCATCCAATTTGCCACTCATTTGATTTTGTATAATAACTCGTCCTGAATTTTTTTTTTAATTTTCGACATTTTTAGCGTAAATTGATAGTTTTGCACCTATAGTGTTAAACCTAACATTTTGAGCCACTTTTGTTTGGGACAAGTTTTGATAATTTTCTTAGCACCTTGAGGTTGGGCTCGTTTTCACAAGCACTTAGGAGCAAACAATGCGTAATTCAAAGTTGTAACGGAGAAGTTAGGAGGGTTAGAATATCAAGGGGATTTGAGCTTGAAAGCCACCGGTATCACCCCATCACCACCGTCCCTTTCGAATGATTTTCTAGCCACCGCTGCCAACAACACTTATTTAGTTTTGTTCCTCCCCTCCCTTAAAATATACATCATATGTCACTCAAGTGATTAAAATTAACGAAAACTATGACAAAAGGACTCGATTGGCATGACTGAGGCCTCGTTTGGGATTGTTTTGTTTTGCCAAAACCTGCTTCACTTTAAAGTTAAGCAGTTTAAGGTGTTTGGTAAAAATAAAATTGTAACATCCCACATCGACCAATGAAGAGGGGGTGATGTGCCTTATATGTACATGGTCACCTCTATCTAGCATGAAGCCTTTTGGGAACTCACTGGCTTCGGATTCTATGAGAACTCCGAAGTTAAGCGAGTTTAAGCTAGAGCAATTCCAGGATGGGTGACCTACTGAGAAGTTGCTTGTGAGTTCCCATAAACAAAACCGTGGGGGTAGAGAGCCTAAAGCGGACAATATCGTGCTACAATATAGCCAATCTAGGATGTGACAAAATGGTAGTGGTGCGAGTGTGCCGACGAGGACGTCAGGCCCCTAAGGGGGGTGGATTGTAACATCTCACATCGACCAACGGAGAGGGAGTGATGTGCCTTATATGTACATGCTCACCTCCATCTAGCACGATGTCTTTTAGGAGCTCACTAGCTTCAGATTCCATGAGAACTCCGACGTTAAGCAAGTTTGGGCTAGAGCAATCTCAGGATGGGTGACTTACTAGAAAGTTGCTCATGAGTTCCCAGAAACAAAACTATGAGGGCAAATGGCCCAAAGCGGACAATATCGTATTACAGCAGAGTCGATTCGAGATGTGACAGAATAAAAAAAAAAAAAAAAAAAAAAAAAAAAAAAAAAGCATTTAAATTTATAATAAATTTTCAAATTCCCAAAATACCATAATTAATTTTTTAAATGATACCACCTCCACCTCCACATCCACATCCAACTCTACCACCTCTGCCACCACCACCTCCTCCTCTTCCATCTCCACCACCTCCACCGCCTCCACCTCCACCACCTCCATCACCACTGCCACAACCACCACCTCTTTCACCACTATCTTCACCTCTTTTACCACCATATTCACCTCAATCTCTTTCACCACCTCCACTACCACCACATAATTTGCACATAACATTTTTAATATCATGTCTATTTGAGTCATTATCCACAGTTACAACAGTTTTATATTAAAATTTACGAAACGGTTTTGACACTGCTTTTTGTACTAACAGCACTTTAAAATAATTATTTATCAAACATGGAGTTGCTTTATTTTACAGCTAATTATTTTCAAAGCATAGTAAAAACAAATTTTTTAAAAGTGACAGCAATCCCAAACTGGCCCTGAGAGAGTTGGATGACCAAATCTACTATATATATAAAATTTATAGTACCAAATTGAAACTTAGGTATAAATTCATGAACCATTGTTGTCAAAAACCCAAGATGTACATTAGAGTTTTGGGCTTAGTCGAGTTCTTCTAGTAAAGTCTCTTTATCCATGTGGCTTTCTATCTAGTTGCCATGTGTAAGGTTTTTTTAATTGAAAATTTCTTTCCATCAGAAAAAGATACCATTTGAATAATGCTACTCTTACCACATTTGTATATCACATTTCCATGTCACCTGATATGATAGATGAGATGGACAGCCACATCAATTAAAATTAATTTAACGTTTTCTTTTCTTTTATGATTTATTGACACTTTTTAGTTGATGTGGTTGTCCACTTCATATAACATAAGGTGATATGAGAATGAGTAATGCTACACTTACCACATTATTATCCCACATTTCTATACCACATGATGTGGCATATGCCACATCAATTAAATGAATGAAGTGTATTTCAATAAATAAAATTAGAAAAACAAAAACTAGTATTTTACATTATGTGGTATATACACATCAGCTGCCACATCATGTGGTATAAAATTGTGGTATAAAAAATGTGGTAAGATTAATATTATTCTATGAGAATATAATATACTAATGTGATAAGAGTAACATTACTCACACCATTTAGTCTCACAATTGTGAGGTGAAGCTGATATTGTTGTAGAGGATCATACATGAACAACACCCCCACCATATATACTTTTTTTTTATTTGTTTGGGTCTCTTTCTTCTTTTATATATATATTTTTTTTTAAATTTGAAAAAAAGGAAGAAGAAAGGGCAGAAAGTTAGAGAGGAAAGTATGGTGTATGGTTATGTATGAAAGGATAAAAGGGTAGGTAGGTCCATAACCTAGATATATGGAGAGAGCATATGAGGAAAACAGCTTTACACATTGAAGCTGAACTACTCTCCACGCCCTGCCTGCCTGCGCCTGCCTGCCTGCCTGCCTGCCTGGCCCTCTCTCTCTCTCACTCAACTGATCAGGTGAAAGAAAGAAAAGAAAAGAAACAAGCGCATGGGACTTACGTACAGTACTGAATATATACAGTCCAATAATAACTTCATTGGTCCACTGGGTAAAATTATTTACTTCAAATTTAAGAGGAATTCAGAACTCCTTTACATTCTATGTGTACATTTTTCATAAATTAAAAATAGGTACACAATAATTTATTGAAAATAGGTACGTTGTATAATTGAAATTTATGCACATTTTTTATAAATTAAAAATAGGTACGTTATTTAGAAGAAAAAAAATAAGTTCATTATACTAGGTAAATTGTTTTACTAGGTATACATTAATAGAGAAAAAAAAGAGATACATTATTTAGAGAAAAAAAATAGATACAAAATTTAGTGAAAAAAAATAGGTTCATTATACTAAGTAAATTTTTTACTAGGTAAATTATTAGAGAAAAAAAATAGGTACATTATTTTGAGAGAAAAAATAGGTTCATTTAAAAAAAAAAATTTCATAAAACAAACAATAAAAAGATGATCAAATTATTTTTAATAAAACAAGTAATAGCTGCTTTATTTAGAGAAAAAAAAATAGGTGCATTATTTAGAGAAAAAATAGTTTCATTAAAAAAAAATGTTTCTCAAAAAACAAACAATAAATAGATTATCAAATTATTTTTCAACATAATTAGAATGTACACTATTATTCATTAAACTATAATAAAAAAGAATACTAGTCGTATAACTCATAAAAGGAAAACAACATTAATTCCTAAATTTAATTTTGAATTTAAATTACTAATACGTTAAATAGATTACTAGTCATAATTCATAGAAGGAAAAAAATATTAATTCAAAAATAGATTACTAATACTTTAATGTGGAATTTAATATTTAATTTCAAATAAATTTCTAAATTAGTTCTTGCATCCATCACAACTATTTAGAGATATTTTCAAATTCAACGTGTGTCATTAGTTACACCCCCAATAACACATTAACTTATAAATAGGGGTAGTTTTGGAATCCGAAAAATATAATAAATTAGATTTTAAGTTATATTAGGTAACTTGTTTAGTTGGATCCTAGTTATCGGGTATTATTTGAAAAAATTGGGTATTTTAAATAGAAAACTAAAGGAAAGGGTTGTAGGTAATTTAAAATGAATTATATGGGTCTAAGGTCAATTTACTAATATAATTTAAAATAAAAGGAGTGTAAGTGGATAAAAGGGGAGTTGGAAAATCAGCTCTCTTATTTTATACAAGCGATATTAGAGGTGGGGAAATTAAATTTAGAACTTAGAGTTCAAAAATAAATACTTTTACTCACTTAAGCTACAAGCTGAATGGATCAAATATTATTAAACTTGATGTTAGATATATATGAAAATGACGGTTCGATATTGGAAGATATTCATGTCAGTGAGAGAAGCTTGAGAAGCTGTCATGCGTGCTCTTCGGCCTCACCACATTGTCGGTCTGCAGACTGCAGTCAGTGGGGCGTGATGAGCTACTTGGACTGTACCAAACCATTGACTGCCGGCAGCTGCTAGCTGCTGCTGCCAAAGTCTACATATTCTCTACCTGGTTTGTATTTAATTTCTCTCACAATAATTAGTCATGTAATTAGTATATATGATTATGTATGTGCGAGTGATTGCACCCGATTATTATCTGTGAGAAGGAAAAAACACACGATTAAAATTAGGTTGTCTAGTAACACGTCCATCTTGTGAATGATCATTTCGTTCAATGACACTACTTTATTGGAATTGATAATTGATTAAGGAAAACATAGCGTACTTTGTTTTCATTTCTTTTTAAAGAAAACGTAGTTTTCTTAATGACTGTATTTACCCTTAATCGGCCTTAACATGTGGGCCGAGTCATTGGACGCATAAGTTAAAATAACATGCTTTTGGTTGGCTAATGTTTTTGTAATTCACTGAACTCAGATTATATTGGTCCTTTGCCAACTATATTTTCGTCCAGTTGGGATTAAAGTTATTTACAACACTTTCCAATCACTACTTGGAATATGGTCACAGGGATTGTGAAAACCTTTTTCCTCCCCTGCTCCTTCTCTCCATCTTCCTGTTGGGAAAACTTTTGGATGTCTATTTCACTGGCAAAAAGGGGAGAAGAGACATGGCCGAACTCCTAAATCATGTTAATCATTCCAAGATCCATGTGTACAATCCAAAGTTTCTATTTCCATGCAATGGACAGTTCTCAATCTCAAATCTTAAAATCTTATATTTTGGGTTATGAAAAATATAGGTTTTTTCATTAGAAAGTGGATGATAGCTATTTCGGAGTGCTAAGGCAGTCCCTTTCATTTAGTATGGTCGTGAGCTCGTTCATCGGAGGGTGGAAGCTTGGCAATGCTTACAAGATCTTGAACTTCTCCACCCATTGACAATTGATGTTATGAGTTAGATGCTCATATTCTTATATGATATTAGAGCATGATATATCCATGTGTCAAGCTCAATAGTCACATCCTCTCACGTTACTTAATAAGAATTTTCCATGTGTAACGTGCTAGTTGCAAAAGACGCCATACATGAGGGGGCCTCTCCACACATTAACACTTGGTTTTGAGATAGATGCTCACATTCTAATAATTCTCTCCATTGTTATTGCCCAATTAGGATCCAACTAGTGAATTAGAAAACACTTCATCTAATTATCAAGAAGCCTCACAAATCATGATTACATTTTAATATTTATTAGAGCTTTGTCGCAGTTCGAGACTAGTTGCAAAAGACCCCATACATGAGGGGCCCCTCCCCTATTAGCAATTAACCCGAATTGGTTACTGTAGGGCTTTCCCATTTATCCTCCATTTATGATTTCGCCACTCCTTGATGGTTTTGTGATGCATATAACAAAACATTTTGTGTTAAATAGGTATTCTTGACAACTTTGGAGAACTTATAAATTTTGTATTTTCTATAAGTTGATGAAGTTCTTCTTGAATTAATTTTCTATTTTCTATATGTCAGGTTAATTGCTTCGCTTTCAAGTTTGGTAAAGTTCTTCTTGAATATTGTGATTAGAGTGAGCTTTGTTGTTGCAAGTTTTTTTTATTTTATATTTTATTTATAATAAAGAGCGATATGCGAAGACTCACTAATGTAGTGGAATGGAGCAAATGCTCTCCTTAGAAAAAGGGTTGTTACTTCCACACCACAAGCCAAAGTTTCTTATTGAGGTTTGATAAGAGTTTAAATGTGGTTATACCTTGTAGCTCAGAATTTGTGAATTAAGGAAAGTTTTGTAGCCAATTAACAGGGTCCTTATAATTTATTTTTGCTTGAACTATTGCTTGATGGTCCTAGAGTGTTAGTCAAGTTAGCTAGGCCTCGGTGATGATAGAGACGATTTGACTTAGCCCTATGTATGCTTAAGACCCTGCTATTATCAAATATATTCTCTAACCCTAATCTCATCATAAAGAGAGAACTGAAACAGCTTTTGAGAGATAGTAGAAGCCTTAAGTCGTATGTGCCTTGTTGCTTGTGTTGCCGCTGCCGTTGAATGAATTCTGAAGTTGTGTATTCAAGAAAGTTGGCATCATGTACAATGGCAGGCCTATGAATTTTTATAGGGGTAGGCTAATTTTTTTTTATATATATATGGGAGATATATTATAAGACTTTTTTCTCTTGAAACAAAAATGTAAACAAAATTTTATAAATCAAATAAGACCACATTACGAGCAAATATAACACAAAGAAGTACAAAATATAAATAAATATCAAATCAAACACATTGCTCAACTTCTTTATATACGAGTTGAGTAAGTTCCTCAGGAATTGAAGTATCAACATCAGATGCAAAAGGTGTATCCTTGTTATCGTTACCACTTTTTTCAAAAAATGAATAAATGAATAGTTTTTCCTTTCTTTGCCGTTCTATTATCATCATGTGATATGATATCCTAAAAAGAAATACTATACACCAAAAATTATATATGCTAATTAATAATTCAAGCTGCAAAAATAAAACATATATAACAATCCCTAAAAATTTTCACCCAAATCCTAACATAATTCTTAACAAAACCTCACATCATGGACTACTTGTGAGCACAAGCGTTAACCTTAATGACATAAAAAAACCACAAAAGATGCAACTTGATTATTTCTTAAACTTCATGAAAGTTTTGTGATAAAAACCCAAAAGAAAAAAAAAATTTGATGTGGTAATGGTAGTGTGGGCTTGTAGCATAGTACATAGTTGAATTGGGCCTTTTTATTTTGTCTTTGGGTAATGGACTAGAAGTAAATTTAAATTTAGTGGGTTTTGCTGGGCCTTAAGATTATTATAGATTGGCAAAGCCTTCCATGATCCATCTGAAGAAAAGGAAAAGGATAGGCTCATCCGCAGGATGAACCGAGATGCACATGCGTACACAAAAACAAAACCCATTTTACAATAAGAAATAAGGAGGTGTTTTTTGTACTTTTCCCACTTTCCAACACTCTCCTCCTTTTCTTTTCTTTTCTTCCACCTTTCTCCGGTTGATGAGTTGAGCGAGTTCTCTACATACATGAAACACCCCAACCAGAACTCTCTCAATTTCTCTCTCATCAATCATCTCTCTCTTCTCAACAAAATCACAACTGTCCATGAAGGTACGATGATCTGGAAAACCCCGTAATTTTCTGTATTTTCTACTTATCTAATATGTATCATCACAATTATCATCATCATCATCTTCATTTGATGATCTGCATGCATTGGTAATTGATTGTGATTGTAAAGTTTGCTATTTGATTTGTGATTAGGGTTTTGTTTCTTTTGGTCTTATGCTTACGAGGTTTGACTCTTTAGGGTTTCTGTGTTTGCCAGACCTCAATCATGGAAGAGTTTGAAGTGAACTGCATACTCAGACAATCACGTGGTAACCTATGATCTGAATTTTGCTTCTGATTTCATCTGAATTTCAGGGAAAGTTAGGGGTTATGAGTAATTTGTAAACTTGGATAAATTCAAGTTTTAGTTTTTTGGGCTGGTTTGAGTATTGGGTTCTGTCTATTGAATTTTGGGGTTTGAGGAGGTTGTGGGTTGTATTATTTTTGAACAATAATGGAGCAAGAATCACAGAAGGGGAAGCTTGATGAGACTGGCAATGAGGCCTCCAATGCTCCGATTACGTGCGTGAATAATTGCGGGTTTTTCGGAAGTGAAAAGACTAATAATCTTTGCTCCAAGTGCTACAAAGATTTTCTATTAAAACAATCAAAGACAGCAGTAGATGATACTGCGGTTGTGGATAAAAAAGTTAGTGCTGATGATCAAGATTTGGAGAATAAACGCCATGTTCAAAAAGTACTGGAGGAAGTAAAACAGAGTCAAGTTGAAGAAGGAACCACTTCTGAGAACCCTGAGAAGCGACCTGCAAATAGGTGCAACTTTTGTAGGAAGCGGGTTGGCCTTACCGGTTTTAAGTGTAGGTGTGGGCAGACATTTTGCTCACTGCATCGTTACTCCAACAAGCACAACTGCGTGTTCGATTATAAGAGTGTAGGCCAAGATGCAATTGCGAAGGCGAACCCAGTCGTTAAGGCAGAGAAAGTTGATAAGATACGTTGATTAATCCAAGGTGTGGGACTTGGGACTTGAGTGTCTGGTAGTCTTCATTTACTATATGAAGTATTGCATAATATATGTTCGTGTTTCGCATAATAAGTTAATGTTTTAATAAGTATTGCGTCATGTGTATAGTATCTTGATTGTATTGTAGCTGAATAATGTTAGCTTTACAACAATTTAGTTTATTTATATCTGTGTGATTTTAATGTTCTTGAGATTATTAATTGTGAAACACTTTGGCACCTATTTATTGCTTTTCTCTCTGGTAGCTGGTAACTTGGTTGCCTTTATTTGCTGCCTCTTTATGGTCATTGTTGTGTTGTTGAAGTATTTTCCTGGTCACTCGCATAAATTCAGTACTTTATGAAATTAAGGCCTGCTATATGAGTTTGGATTGGGTTTCTATGGTTTCAATTGAGATCTTATAATAAAGTCGTTTTATGAAAATTTCCTTGGTGATCTCTAAACAATAGACTAAAAGAAGCTTTGTTTGATGTTTGTGGCGTTGTACCATGTCACTAGCTGCTTCTGGTCTGTTTTAATTCCAAGGAAGAATGCTGGCTTACTTTCTTGGGCATTTGGCTAAATTTCAACTTGAGCTTATTTAGAAACTAGAATAAGGAAAATGCCTATACTGCGTTGGCTAGGATTAATTGAACGCATCTTGAATATTTGTCCACTAAGCAAGTAATGATTTCTGGACTATGCAAGTGTTTGTTTAGTGTCTGTTGTACAAAATCTTTGAATTCTCCAAGTTTGTTACATGCTACAGGTGTTCGTCTTGCTTAAAGTTCCAAATGCCTTGTTGTAAGAAGATTGCATTGGTTTGCTTTTGGGTTCCCCAACCCTTGTTGTACTTTGATAGTTTTGTTTGAGAACATGGATTTTCCGTTGGCGTCAAGTTTCAATTGGCATTGGCTTTCCCCTTTCTGTCTATAGGGATGCTTATGATTAGCTTTGGTCTCGCTTAAAGTTCCAACTACCTTGTTGTTGGAAGATTGCGTTGGTTTGCCTTTAGGTCCCTCCTACCCCTGTTTTCTGCTTGGTGGTTTTGTTCAAGAGCTTGGATTTTCTGGTGGTACCTAGTCTTAGCAGACATTGGATTTTCTGGTCATGAGTCTTTACGAAATGTGGTTCGTTTCTGTCTGGGGATGCTTTGTAGTTTGGTTGGTTTTATATTTGCTCTCCATTTGATTACTTTTGTTGGGAATGAGCATTAGGGGTTAGTCATTGTTAATTTTATTGTGTAATGCGTGCTGATAGGGTTAATTGCTTATGTGTGTAATTTTATTATGAGGCGTGCTGTATTCGGAGATCATGCTTGACAATTCATAAATGCATTTTTTTTTAGAGCTAACATCATTTTACCCCTGCAGATATGGGTCATGTGTCATTCTTGATATGGGATACGAGATTTTAATTTTGTCAATTTATGCCATGACGTTTTAAAATTCAACCAATTTACACGTTTTGTCAATTTAACCGTTTGGTCTTCTGTTAAGTGATGATGTGACAAATGTGGGGTCCACTTTTATAGTTTATGTGTAATTAACTTTTAGGAAATAATATTAAAAAGTTAAATTTTTTGACAGATTAAAATAAAAATCTATATCTCCTCCCTCGCTTTGCCGGAATCTGGGCAACCTTTTCCTCCTGCCTAGGGATGGCAACGGACTGAATAGGGGCAGGTATGGCAATACCATCCTCGTCCCTACTTCCCATCCCCGCCCCCATCTCCGTTTAAGTGGTTTCGTGGAATCCCTATTTCCGTACCAGTCGGGGGGCTATCACCCATCCCAGCTCCAAATCCCCTATTTTTTGAAATGATCTTTATGTTTCCAAGAACATCATCCATGAATCAATCTTACACTTCTAGAAGAGGGTGCACTTCTAGAAGAGGGTGCAAACCTACGTCCATAATATGCTAATGAGTTAAGAATTGATAATCAGCATGTATAACACAAATTGCAAATTAGATCTAGTCACAGCATCATATGATCTATTGCACAGAAATATAGTTGTGAATCTCATGAAATTTATTGTCAGTGATCAGGACAATTTTTTGGGTGGTTAAATTAGAAGTTGAAGAACAGGGTTAGGACTTCGGAGGGCAAGAAACAGTTAAGATCTATTTAAACTAATTTCACAAAAACTTACAATATTGATTCCAAGATACATTCGCGGAAGGATGTATATATGAATCAAAATGCCAGTCTTCTTTATTTAGCTGGAATGAAGTATTAAATATAATAATTATTTCACTGTAACAAGGGTATTATATTATATATTTATTAATTTGAAAATAAATATATACTTATTGGGCTGGGTTCGAGGATGGGGATGCCAATATCATCCCCTACCCATACTCGATGAGGATTTTCATACTTCAGGGATCCCCGTACCTGATCTCCGTTTTGCCCAGAAATCACCCTTTGTTAGGGCCGAGGAACCGATGGAGACCCGACCCGATGAGGATTTCTGCCATCCCTACTCCTGCCCCATTAGTTCCCTATTTTTTTCCCTCTCTCTCTCTCTCTCTGTCTTACTGCCCCTTATTAGCCTTCAAAATCATGCTCACGCCTTCTTTAGCATATTTTAGCTTCAACTTCTCCCTCTTCGACATCTTGAACACTCCGATGGAGGGCCTCGATAACTCCTCCACTACGCCATGCTCTTAGGAGCCGCCCTCCAGCAATTCCCGAGAAGTGGAACCTGATTAAGATGAATCTGCCCAGCCCCAACATCTTCCTATTCAAAATCAAGACTCGCCGGTCCATGCACTCGCTCTTGCCGTTAGGGTTCTATGATGTGGTCAATAAGGTTCAATAAGTCAATGTATACTTTATACTAAAATTTCATAAAATCGTGTTTAATTATTTAAGATGTAAGGAATATAAAAAAAATTTGGTTCTAACCGTTGGAGGTCATAACCTTCTGGAATGTTAACTTGTTTTGTTCTTTTAACTAGCCCCTTGAGCATGCGCCAATTGGTTTTCTTTTTAGAATTAAAAAAAGATAACATGGGTAGTTATGTTCCATAAAAGTTATTATCTAATTTTCTTTTTAATTTTTTTTAATATAAAAAATATGAATTTACCATATTATCCTCATTTAATTAATAATTTCAATTTTTAATATTTGAATTAACCAAGGGTATTTTTTAGTATTTTGAATGTTTCACCATTTGTTTGGGCTTAATTTGGCGCACTCAGCCCAAAAGAACAAAGCCCATGTCAATTTTGGGCAGCCACCAGCATTTCCTTGAAATTGGGCCAAGATTACACACTCAGCCCAACACTGAAGGCCTAGAAGGACGAGGCAAAATTAGACCCAGGCATTTGCGAACTAAAATCAGGATCAAAAGCCCAAATCAAAGAAGAAACCCAAATTGGGCTTGCCATGGTCAAAATAAAGAAGAAGTCCAAAAGGAAACAGACCCACGTGATTTTTTTTTGACTTGGAAAAGTCAGCAAAAAGAAGAGACATCTCTGAATCTCTGCCACTAGAAGATCAAAACCCTTTTTATATATTCAAAGATGTTGCCTCTGCTCCAAAGAAGGCACCATCTTTCAAGGGATATGCAGGCTATACTTTCTGAAAAAGATAAGCAGGAAACAGGGAGTTGTTCAAAACTGAAAAATCAAACTAACCATCACAGTTTGAGCTCTTACAGAGGGCAGTTAAAATGGAAGAAGGGTTAGGTTTTTTTTCAGAGAAATACAGGGAAGTGATTGCCATAGGGACTGACTATTGAAAGCTTATCTGCCAGAATTGAGAAAACCCTTTTTCTTTGCATTAAAAATGGAGGATCCTACTTTTTAGAAAATCTGCTCTCCATTTTTAAAGGATTATAAATTCTATTACAACATCACTATAAATGTAAAAAAATCAAACAACCAAAAAATCAACCAAAGACAAAAACTCAAAATGATCACTTGATCTCTGAGAACCTTCAAACAAACTGAAGTAACCAAAAACTCATTCGAGCCACAGAAGAAGCTAACTATAAATTAGAACTTTCAGTTTATACTTAAGAAAAATAAGTCATTCGAAACGAGATTTCTCTCGTTACAAATTTGGTTTAGCAAAAACCAAAACAAGCAGAGTTTGAGTTTCTACAAATATGAAAACCTCAACAAATTTACGGAGTGCCCTGATCAAGCAGAATATGTACCACAATGCAGTTCCAGCTCAATAATCCGCAAGTCTAGCCACTTCTGCCCCTTTCAAATTGGAGAGGCCGCAATTCTGCTCATTCAAAAAGTCTCCCAGGGCTCGAAATAGATTAAAGCTCTGCCAAACTCAAACTTTGGTATTGATTTGCAGCTGAAGCTGAGCAATTGAAGTTGGGAACAATCCAATCCAGCACATGCATACCCAATCCAGCCCGGATAAGAAACTTCTGTCTAGGCAGAAATGGAATTCCAGCCTTCTTTTGTCTTTCTAGAGTTGATTTTTTGCTGTAGAATTTTGTAAAAGCCAGTTCCGCCTTAAAACAGTTCATTTTCTTACTATCTATTCTTGCCAGAACTACCAACATTATACTGTGAAAAATTATGAAGTTCTCACCAGTCTGAGGCATGAAAAGAACTTACTTGGGAGATATTCCTCACCCAAATTCACAATTGCTTGTTTAGAAATTAGTAACTTGGTGCACAAGTTATCTATTTTTAAGAAGTCTGCTTGGATTTCTATTGCTAGTAGTGGCACGCTCGCACACTAAAGAAAGTTGACTTGTTGACCAGTCAATAGTTTTCAGGACAATGGGGAACTTTACCCTTCCATCACAGGAGCAAACACAAAACGGGTGAACAATTTGGCATGCCCAGTGGGACTTCTCAGTATACATACTCGCAAAGAAGTTTTCTAAGGTATATGAATATTGGAAGTTCTAGCCAGAACCTATGCTGCGCTATGGAGAGAGAGCAAGTAGTTATTCGAGAAGGACTGGAGTCAGAAGAAAGTGATGCCAGGCAGTTAGCCCATGGCAGTACCGGAACTAGACGTTCCAGGAGGTTGAATCAAATACAGGAAGCTGTGTTCCGACAAGAGGCTACAGCACAAAGGAGCCAGGATACTTTGAATAACATGACAGCTATGATGCAATGGAAAGTTAATAGGCAGTTCAAGAAGGACCGTGAGGCTGACATGGCCAAAATTCCAAATCCTGATGTTGTGGTCCAGCAGCTAGACCTCCCTTATGGTCCTCCACCAGGATTGGCATGGCCTTATCAAGAAAACCCTCTCATCCCACAAATAGCTGGAATATAAGGGCATGGAGAGATCCAAGTTGGACAGAGGGGATGAGCCCCTCCCATCCAAGGGCAGGAGGGTCCAGTTCGGCCAAAAGGCCCTGCACCAGTTTAGGTCTCCCACAATCAACTGGAACCTCCACTTATTCCACAACCTGTGACCCTACGTGATTAGCCCTTGGCACTTCTGCCTGAAGCACTAGCTGTGTTGCCCTACAGACCCAGAAGGATGGATCCCAATCCATTTTCCCCACCAGCAAGAGGCAGAAGAGGCAGATGGGGAATCAACCCATTTGCCAACAATGACAGGAACAGATCGGGGGTAAACTGGAGGAATCATCCAGATTTCAAAGAAGAGGAAGAACACGGGGAGGAAGTTCTGCCCAGGCCATACAGAATGGAGCATAGGAATGACCATGCCTAGCCAGAACAGGGACGAAATTCGCACCCTGTCAATGCCTTGAATGACATAGGGGCACTACAAAGAATGATCAGGGAGATGATGGAGCCCGAAGCCAGAAGAGGAGAAAGGCCACCTACATAAAGCCATATCAGGCTTACATTTATCAGATACCTCTATCCCCGGGTTTCAAGGTGCCAAACTTCACTTTGTTCAACAGAGAAGATCCCCGTGCTTCATCAGTTGAGCATATAGGTAGGTTTTCTGTCCAGTGCATAGCCATAGAAAATAACCCTATGTTAAAGCTAAGGCTTTTTGGGAATTCTCTCTATGGATAAGCTTTCACTTGGTATACTAGTCTACCAACTAACTCTATTCAAACCTGGGAGCAAACGGAAAATGTTTTCCATGACTACTATTTCAGGATCCAGCCGGAAGTCACCATAAGTGATCTTGCTGCCCTCAAACAGAACGAAGATGAGCTTGCCCAGGATTTCATAACCAGATTCAGGAAACTTAAGATGAAATGCCAGATCCCTGTGGAAGAAAGGCACTTCATCCAGATGGCTCAAACTGCCCTTAAAATCTCTATGAGAAAAAGATTTGATGGGATGCTGTTTGGAGATCTGGCAGAACTGGCAGACAAAGCATCTAAATATAAAGAGCTGCTTAGGGAAGAACAACAGAAGATGAACTCTTCCAAAGGCACATACTACAAGTCCCCTTCTTTTTCAGTCCATCTGGTTGAGGTAGAATCAGAAGAAGACACGAAAGGCTCGGAGGAAAGAGAAATTGCCGTGGCAGAAATGGCAAAATTAAAACATCCCATTAGTTGCAAGGCTCTTACAAAGCCACTAAAGGACTAGAAGCCACCACCGTTCACAGGAGGGTTTGTCCCAAACAAACCAACCCAGAACAAGGTCTATTCCTTCGATCTAATCAAGGTGGATACTTTGTTTGATGAGATGCTGCTACAAAAAGCAATAGAGACACCCCACAAGTTGCCCAAGTCGGAAGAACTTAAGGGCAGACAGTATTGCAGATGACACAACTCTTGGAACCATTCCACCAACAACTGTGTTGTTTTCAGGGATGTCATACAGGAAGGAATAAAAGCAGGAAGGCTAAAACTAGCGGATAAACCTCCATTAGTTACAACAGATCCCTTTCCCTAGCCTCAAGTCAACATGGTCAACTTAAATTGGCCAGAACAGAGGAGAGGTAAACTAGCAACAGAAGCTAGCTCCAGCAGAGGCAGATGAGTCACAACGGAGACTAGCCAAAGGCAACTATCTCGGCTGGGGTAGTGCTGTGCAGCAAGTGCAAGTGAGAAAGTGAGTTAGAAGTAACTCTGGATAGGCGGAATCAGCCCACACCTAGTGTTTTTGACAGGATTGGAACATCACACCAACAAGGCCCAGTTCCGGCTTCATCTAAGGACACAGCCAGACAGAAGGACTATCTAAGGCTTGCCCAATGGAGCAGAAAAGTGATAGAGCAGCCAAAGAAAGAAATACCAATTAAGATGCCCGGAAATGACAAGCCTCTCGCAACCATCATAGAAGGCAGATAGTATTCAGTTAGAAAAAGTGGCAGACCAACTCTAGAACTAACCAGAACTCAGAAGAGGAGAGTTCAAAGGCAATACTGTACTTTCCTTAAAAAACAGGGACAACACACAGGTACTTCTAAGGACCAGTTCTGCCAGAAGAGGGAAAAATCTAGAAATAGCGCCTCAGGAAGAACAAACAACCTATCAGCCGCAAGAACTGATAAAAACAGAATCTCCAAACAGACCTCCTATCAATCCTTCCTCACCCTCAGTCAATCATCTTGAACCCTCACAAATACAAGGTGAAATCGAACCTATTCCAGGAAAAGAACAAGAAGACTGGACTGAAGAGTGAAAAAGAGCAGTTGGACTATGAGCCATATGCAGATGATCAGGTTGGACTTCCCAAAACAGGAGAACAGGAAGACTGGACAGAAGAGTATGGGAAAGAACAGATGGAGTATGGTGGAGAACTAGATGAAGAAACTGAGGCTTTTGGTGCAGAATTGGAGAGCCTGTTACAAGGTGATCTAGGCATTAACATGGTATTTATCTTGCCAGAAAAGTTCAAGGTAGCAAAATGACAAGAGAGCGCTCTGGAAGGAGACGTTTTCTCCCAGGAAAGTTTTGAGTGCAGATTGGCAGAGGCCGAGGAGACGCCAGAACATCAAGAACCTATTGCCAAAACAAGCGGAACAACCATGAAACTGGCTGCAGAGCAGCTCTGTTTCTCCAAACCAACCAAGGAGATGGCCAATCACCTCAGGCCCCTATTCATAACAGCAAACTTTGGGGGTATTCCTATTCCCAAGGTCATGGTAGATGGAGGTGCATCCATTAATCTTCTGCCTCACAGATTGTTAAACAAGATGGGCAGAACAGAGAAGGATTTAATTCCAACACGGTTGACTGTTACCAACTTTGCTGGGGGCATCACTAAGACTCGTGGAATCCTAGATGTGGATGTCATAGTTGGAACTAAAGATCTGAAGATTGCATTTTTTGTGGTAGACACCACTTCCACCACTTACAATGTGCTGCTTGGCAGGGACTGGATTCATCAAAGCCTATGTGTTCCTTCCACTCTGCATCAACAATTAGCCCTTTGGAATGAAGAAGGTTTCATGGAGATAGTAGAGGCCAATCCATGGCCATTTCTGCCCTCTGCCATGTGTTTTGAGGCAAGGTATTATCATGATGACCTTTGTCCTTTCACCTTCCTTAGAGTTAACCAGAATGACTACCCCCATGGTGTCACGGCCCAAAGGCTCATTGAAGATGGTTTAGCCAGTTCTTTAGAAGACTAGAATAGACCTTTTGTTATAAACCTACAGAACTCTGATGTTTAGTCCCAATCAACAAGAAAAGGATCGAGCTGTAACAATCCGATCTATTACCAAAAGATTGTTGATATATTGGGAAGAAATGAAGTTCTGCATGCAGAATCCAGCCATTAATATGGCAGAATTCACCCATGAGAGCACGGAAGAACAAGAAGAAGAGAGTTTATAAGAGGGAGTACTAGATTTTACACCAGCAGCACTTGATGACTCTTTGCCAGAAGTGGAAAATCCATTACATGAGATAAACTTAGGGACAGAAGAGGATCCAAGGCCAACTTTCATTTGTGCACTGTTAAAAGAGCCACTCAAAAGTGAAATCATTGCACTTTTGCATGATTTTCGAGACTGTTTTGCTTGGCATTATCATGAGATGCCTGGATTAGACAGAAAACTGGTACAACACAAGCTGCCAATCATGGAGGGCTACTTTCCAGTCAAACAGGCCAGAAGAAGGATGTTTATGGAAACATAACTGAAAGTTAAGGGAGAAATAAAAAGATTGCTCAAGGCAGGATTCATTAAACCAACCATTTATGCTGATTGGTTAGCCAATATTGTGCCAGTTCTGAAAAGAATGGGGGTTGAAATTATAAAAAAACCCAAGCACTATTTAAACATATAAACACACCCAAAACCCATCATTACACACACTCAAAACCCATTTATAAACACACCAAAAAAGTTGACTTTGAGGTTGATTTTGGGTGTGTTTCTATGTTTAAATAGTGCTTGGGTTTTTTTTATAAATACATGTCTAGGATTGGGTTTATTTATAAATTTGTAAAAGAAAAACTGGGGCAGTTAGGATCTGTGTGGATTACAGAAATCTGAATGAAGCATCTCCTAAGGATGAATATCCTATGCCACTGGCAGATATGCTTGTGGATGGAGCTACTCATAACTAGAGGCTATCTTTTATGGATGACAGTGCAGTATATAATCAGATTATGGTGGTAGAAGAAGATATCCATAAGACAACCTTCATGTGCCCAGGACATATAGGTGTTTTCGAATACACTGTAATGCCTTTTGGTCTAAGAAATGCAGGAGCCACTTATCAGAGAGCAATGAATTCTGTTTTCCATGATATGATAGGGCATTCTCTAGAAGTATACATGGATAATATGGTGATTAAATCCCAAGAAGAGGGAGATCATGTGTCAAATCTAAAAAGGGCATTCGTAAGAATGAGACAACATAAGTTAAAATGAATCCCAAGAAATGTGTTTTTGGGGTTCAAGCAGGAAATTTCTTAGGCTTCTTGGTCCACCAAAGGGGCATAGAGGTTGACAAAAATAAAGCCAAATCCATCATAGAAGCTCTACCACCTCGGAACAAGAAAGAGTTGCAGAGTCTCCTAGGAAAAATTAATTTTCTAAGGAGATTCATATCCAATATTGCAGGAAAAATCCAACCTTTTTCCTCTTTGCTAAGATTAAAGCAGGAACAGACATTTAAGTGGGAGGAACAACACCAACAAGCTTTGAGGAAATCAAGCACTACCTCTCAAATCCCCTAGTTTTGTCTCCACCAAAGAAAGGCAGACCACTCAAACTTTATGTTTCTGCATTAGAAGTGTCCATTGGGAGTCTGTTAGTTCAAGATAACAAGGAAGGGAATGAATAGGCAGTCTACTATTTAAGTAGAACTTTGACAGAAGTAGAAAGGAAATATTCTGCAATTGAAAGGCTTTGTCTAGCCTTATACTTCACTGCTGTGAAGCTCAGACACTACATGCTACCATTCACCATCTACATCATTGCCAAGACAGACTTGATCAAATACATGCTAACAAGGCCAATGTTGAGAGGCAGAATTGGAAAATGGACTCTTGCTTTAACAGAATTTGCTTTCAGATATGTCCATTAGAAAGCTGTCAAAGGACAAGCTGTAGTAGATTTCTTAGCAGATCACCCAGGGGAAGAAATTGAAAACATGGACTATTTGGACATAGCAAATGCAGATATGTTGACCATAGCTCAACAATCTCATCTATTCAGTTCACCTTACACCTTGGAAACTGTACTTTGATGAATCAAAGACTGATATAGCTTCTGGGGCAGGGATTGTTTTAGAAGAGCCACTAGGGATCAGACACTATTATTCTTTCCAGCTAGATTTCTAGTGCACCAACAACAGAGCTGAATATGAGGCTTTAATCATTGGCCTAGAAATGCTAGTGGAATTAGGGATCCAATCTGTGAAAATCTTGGGAGATTCTATGCTCGTGTTAAAACATATTGTTGGAGAATATAAGTGTCTAAGTCCTTCTTTAGCTATCTATCTAGTGGCAGCCAGAAACCTTCTGACAGAATTCAGAGAAACTACTTGGGAACATATCCCAAGAGAAGAAAACTTTGCAGCCAATGAATTGGCTCAAGTAGCAACAGGTATACAAATGCCTGAGGACTGTGTGCAAAGGATTATCAAGGTAGGAAAGAAAAGTCTACCATCTATTCTGACCAGAGGAATAGAGATAGATGTCAATTATGCCATAATCACTGAAGATGATTGGAGAAATCTTATCATAAATTACTTGTAGTATCTAACCCTGCCTTCTGAAAAAAGAGTCAGAATCATGGCTTTAAACTACCTTATGTGGAATGGAGATTTGGTCCGAAAAAGCAAAGATGAGGTACTTCTAAGGTGCCTAGGAAAGAAAGAATACATGAAGGTTATGGGAGAAACCCATGAAGGAATCTGTGGAGCTCATCAAGGTGGAAGAAAAATGTGCTGATTAATTAGAAGGTATGGTTACTTCTGGCCAACCATGATGAAAGATTGCGTTGACTATTCCAAGGGATGTGAGGCGTGTCAAAGGCACGGCCCAATCCATCAAGCTCCTTCAGTCCCAATGAATCCAGTAGTCAAGCCATGACCTTTTAGAGGATAGGCAATGGATCTCATTGGCAAGATTTATCCAACCAGCAGCAAACAACATTGTTTCATCATTGTTGCTACATATTATTTCACCAAATGCGTAGAAGCCAAGCCTGTTAAATCCATCACATCTCAAGAAATCATCATCTTCATAGAAGAACAAATCATCCAAAGGTTTGGCATTCCATAATCAATCACAACTGATTGAGGATTTTCTTTCATATCTAAAGAGATGTTGGATATGGCAGAAGCATTCAAATTCAAGCTGCTTCAATCCACTCCTTATTATGCTCAAGCTCATGGGCAAGCAAAATCAAGTAACAAGGTGATTATCAACATTATCAGGAAAATGCTTGAGAAGAATCCAAAGCAATGACATGAGAAGTTATCAGAAACTCTGTGGGCATATAGGACTTCAAAAAGAGAGGCAACAAGCATGACTACATACGCTCTAACTTATGGCCATGATGCAATTCTGCCTATGGAGATAGTAGTCTAGTCGCTCATAATTGCTCATCAACACAGTCTGGTTGGAGAAGACTACTCTCAAGCCATGTTGTTAGAACCGGAAGGATTGGATGCAAGTAGGATTGATACCCTCAACAAACTCTTAGCAGGAAAACAGGTTGTATCAAGAGCCTACAACAAAAGAGTTAAAAACAAGAGTTTTGAAAAGGGAGAAATAGTCTGGAAAGTAGTTCTGCCCCTTGGAACACATATAGCTGGTTATGGAAAATGGTCACCTACATGGGAAGGGCCTTTCATAATTAAGCAAATCCTTAGGTAAGGGGCATATAGATTACAGGATCGAGAAGGAGAGGTTCATGCTGCGCCAATCAATGGCAAGTGGTTGAAGAAATTTTATCCAACTATGTGGGATTCACAGGCTGTGCAAACAGATCCTGGAATAGACATGCAGCAAAATGAAACTGTTGTTTAAAATTCTGTTCGAAATTTAATTTTGTTATAATTTATTAAGTTTAAATTATTTCTATTTCCTTTTGTCGAGAGAAATAAAAATGCCACAAAAATAAATAACCTTTTATTTAAATATAGCCACTTTTGTGGCTAAATTGTTTATTACAAGTCTAAGTTCAAAAATCTAAAACCCTAATTTCTTGAGGGTCTCCTCTAAGCTTGCCTTCTTAATAGAAAGTTGCTTCTAAAGCAACACCCCTGATGAATTGAAGCCTTTGCAATTTCCAAGGCTGGCCTAGAAGTTGAAACCATACTCTGCACAAGGAAGGTAGCCTTGGTCTTGGAACTCAGTCCAGCCCCAAGCTTGCTCTACACCTCCTTGCATTCTACCAACTGTTTTTGAAGCTCTTCAATTTGCTTCTCCAGCCTATCTGCAGTAGCCTTGGCTTCCTTGTATCCTGCAACCATCTGGTCCAGTTCTGCCGTTTGTTTTGTGTAATAAGCCAAATTGGCTTCATGGGTAGCCTTGCAGAACTCAGAGGTTTTGAAGATGGGCTTGAGATCTTCATAACGGTCGTGGAGGTTAAGCACGTCTCTGGCCAGGCCAAGGGTCATCTCAAGTATAGGCTTGGGAGCCATGTTCTGTATGTGCAGAAGGTCCAGGTCCTTCATCAATTGATTGACGACTTCCCTGTTCTCGTCCAGTTCTAGCTCAGTAGATTGCCAGATCTTTAGCCTCTCCATTGCCTCATCCACCGCCTTGGACTTGGCCTTGCCAGGGGGAGAGCTGAGTTTTTCTAGTTTGTCCAGCTGGGCATCTAAATCCATAGCCTCGAATTCCGCCAGCTCCGGATCAGCAAAGGAAGCAGTGGTAGATGAACTTGGAAAGGAATGGATGGGCATCTGCAAGCAGAGTCCAAGTCAGTTCTATGCAAGATTTTAGAACTAAGGGAAAATCCAAATGAGTAAGTACTTACAACAACAATTGGAGGCTTCAGAGGGCTGGTCATCACTGCCAAAACCCCAGCGGTTCTAGGCACTTATACCTTAAAAGACTAATAGTTAGAAAAGCTAAGACAGGACAAAACTGCAGGAAATAGATAGACAGAGTTAAAATAAGAATTACCACAAGGTCAGGAACAACAGCAACTACTTCCACTCCAGCTTCTGGGGTTGCAACAGGTAGTTCTGCGTTCTCCCTATGCTCTAATACAGATTGCTTTGACTGCTCTTCAGATACTAGAACGGCAGTGGAGTGTTCCGCCTCTGCATCCACAAAAAGGGCCAACTCTGAGCTGGTCATTCTGCCCTTGGGGCCTCCTGCTGCTTCTGCTCCAAAGTGATGCTCTCTGCAATCACTTTAGCGAGGATTTAGTCCTACAGAAGGACAGAAGTCAGAAAAGAGGAAATCAAAAGACAAAATTGCTGATACAGTCAACAAGACTCGCCTCCTTTTCCATTTGTTTCGTCTTTTCTTGAGGTCCTTCTTCTTCTTCTAGCTCTTTCTCCTGCTCCACTGCCTCAAAGGTTTCCCTTAACTCTTCATCTGTGCCAGAAGTTGTGGTGGGAGCTGCTGTAGGTTCTTCTGTGGCCACATACTCCACCATAGTTCTCTTTCTAAGCCTTTTTGACTTAGGTAGGTTGGGGAGGGGGGGGGAGGTTGCGAAGAAACATGCAATAAAACGATAAAAACATATTGAATTAAAAATAAGGCAGAATAGGACTAGGAAAGCTCAAACTCTCAAGACTTACCTGACACTTCTGGCTGAACAGAACTCTCATGGAATGGAGCAGTCTCTTTTCTCTTATTTCTTATGGCAGAGGGAGTCGCCTCAATAGCTGTTTGTTCTGCCTGAGTTTCATCCTCTTTATCTCCAGAGGGAAGCTCCAGGTCTCCGACAACAATGATAGAAGTGATTGCACAGGAAACAGACAAAGTCAGAAGTCAATCCAGCAGGAAAATAATATAAGGAACAGAATGATGAAAAACTTACCAATAACCTCTCCAGCCTGGATAGACTCTCCACTTATGTTCCTTGTCAAGGAGGGGTCTAATACAGATAGAAAAAAGGTGTTAGGCATCATCACAAAGGTAGAATAGGCAAGACAAAGACAAAATTGAGAGTATACCTTCAATAACTTGAGCATTGATATCCTTAATGGTCTGCACCATGAATCTGTGAGTCTCCTCCCCTGCATGAAGAACCCAGGAATCCCAGCCATAAAAAAGGATTTTCAGTGCAGTGCTGAAGGCAGGCAGGCCTTGAAATCTAGCTTTCCACCAAGCGTCAAACTCGGCAGAATTGCAAGAATTCGGTTCCTAGGCTGGATAGAGAGCATCTGTGCTGTTATTTATCTTATTCACTGCACATCTTGCATCCTTGTGCACTTCCAGATCGTCTGCATCTCTACAGGAAGTAGCCCGATTGCAACTCCTGTAGGATTTGAGTGGGATCAGCTGAGGGCAGCCAAGTTGTCTTGCGCAGAAGTTGGGATGATAGACTTCTGCCCCCAAATGATAATTTGGAGGTTTTCCACCTCTATAGGGCAGATCTCTTGGCATGGTAACACTCAGGAACTTCTTCCTAAAGTCTGTTATGGCAGATTCCTCTCCTGGCTCCTTCTCAAATAGCCGGCATCCAGGCTGAAACTAGGGATAAGTCCTTCTGAGCACCACCTGCCATTGAGCAGCGGACCTCTTGGTGCAGTGCATGAAGAACATCAGGTACTCATCTATTGAGTGCTTGGGCACTTCTGCCGACATGAGAGGGAGAGCCAGGACTTGATCGTTAGGCAGACTTATATTCGGGAACCTCAATTCTGGGAAGTAGACTTGCAGCCAAATCTGGATCATCCAAAATGCGCCGGGAGCAGACAAGTTCAGTGGATTATCTAGGGTGGCAGTATGCAGGTTCTTGAACAAATGAGCCAGAACTGTAGGCCCAAGCCCAACGTCAGTGTGATTGTGAAGGGCTTCTGCCAGGTGCCTATACTCAAGCAGAACTGCCGAGGAACGGTTAAGGAAAACGAATCTGTTAAGCCAGTACATGAGGAACAACATGTGCGGTTGATCCTTATCTTTCTCAGCACTGAACTTCCTCAAATAATTGGAGAAAGAACATTTCTAATTTATTGTGGCTGGAGAGATAGTGAACAGCTTGGACAGTTTCTCTTGGTTCTTCCTTCGATGATAGTCACCAATAGAATCAACAGGCCTTCCATGGGGCCTGAACCCAAAGATTTGAGCCATATCCAGCAGGGTTGGCGTCATTGGGCCCACATGAAAATCGAAGGTGTTGCTGGCAGAATTCCAGAAACACAAAGCGGCAGTAAGCAGATTCTTAGCCCTCTTCCAGTGAGGCTCCATATCTTGGAAGAAGTCAGTCAATCTAGTCCGCCCACTTGACTGGACTGTTCCTCACCTCACTGGATGGGAACGAACGACTCAAATTCTTGTTGACCCAAGAATGAGAAGCTAAGGCAGAAGAGCTCTCGAAGCATAGGGGAGCTTCAACATCATCTTTGAATAGTTCCGCTATTTCAGTAGGGACAAAACCAAGCAAGTGAGGACCCAAAACTAGGGTATTCTCAAACAGGTGGAGGACATTCTCGTCCAGGTTTTTCTTGGCAAATGGGTGGAGCTTGCTTCTGACCTTTATCGCATGATTATCAACCCCAGTCCCAGTGATATAATCGGGAGGAACTGAGGAAGACGAACCCTGGGCTCAAGTCTTGGAAGAAGACATGTTCAGAAGTTTTGAGCTAGGAACGAAGGAAATGGTAAGAAAGGCGGAGTCTGGTTGAAGAAGAAAGTGAAAATTCTGGGGAAAACCGAGAGAGTCGAGGTATGAAAAAGCTAGGTTTCAAAGTGAACATAAGCTGGAGTTTCGAAATTCTTAAAAAGGGCTCAAAATCATGGAAAGAAGAAGACGAGACACCACCTGATAATGACTAGCTAGTAACTGAACAATTTCCCACGAAGGCTAGCTCGTGGTAGGCAAACGTGGCTAACAAAAGAAACTGGCGCGCAAATTAATGGCCAAGTCATTTAAGTCTGGAATCGTTCAAAAAAGGATTTAGACTTAGGGGGCATTATTTGGGCTTAATTTGGCACACCCAGCCCAAAAGAACAAAGCCCATGTCAATTTTGGGCAGCCACAAGCATTCCCTTGAAATTGGGCCAAGATTACACACTCAGCCCAACACTGAAGGCCTAGAAGGACGAGGCAAAATTAGACCCAGGCATTTGCGAACTAAAATCAGGATCAAGAGCCCAAATCAAAGAAGAAACCTAAATTGGGCTTGGCATGGTCAAAATAAAGAAGAAGAAGCCCAAAAGGAAACATACCCACGTGATTTTTTCTGACTTGGAAAAGTCAGCAATTTCAACTGGGTTGATAAAAGTTGATAAGGACAGGCAAAAGAAGAGACATCTCTGAATCTCTGCCACCAGAAGATCAAAACCCTTTTTATATATTCAGAGATATTGCCTATGCTCCAAAGAAGGCACCATCTTTGAAGGGATACGCAAGCTATGCTTTCTAAAAAAGATAAGCAGGAAACAGGGAGTTGTTCAAAACTGAAAAATCAAACTAACCATCACAGTTTGAGCTCTTACAGAGGGCAGTTAAAATGGAAGAAGGGTTAGGTTTCCTTTCAGAGAAATACAGGGAAGTGATTGCCATAAGGACTGACTATTGAAAGCGTATCTGCCAGAATTGATAAAACCCCTTTTTCTTTACATTAAAAATGGAAGATCTTGCTTTTTATAAAATCTGCCGCCCATTTTTAAAGGACTATAAATTCTATTACAGCATCACTATAAATATAAAAAAATCAAACAACCAAAAAATCAATCAAACCACCAAAAAAATCAACCAAAGACAAAATTTCAAAATGATCACTTGATTTCTGAGAACCTTCAAACAAATTGAAGCAACCAAAAGCTCATTCGAGCCACAGAAGAAGCTAGCTATAAATCAGAACTTTCAGTTTATACTTAAGAAAAATAAGTCATTCAAAACGAGATTTCTCTCGTTACAAATTTGGTTCAGCCAAAACCAAAACAAGCAGAGTTTGAGTTTCTACAAATATGAAAACCTCAACAAATTTATGGAGAGCCCTGATCAAGCAGAACAAGTACGACAATGCAGTTCCAGCTCAGTAATCCGCAAGTCCAGCCACTTCTGCCCCTTTCAGATTGGAAATGCCGCAATTCTGCCCATTCAAAAAGCCTCCCAGGGCTCGAAATAGATTAAAGCTCTGCCAAACTCAAACTTTGGTATCGATTTGCAGTTGAAGCTCAGCAATTGAAGTTGGGAACAATCCAATCCAGCACAGGCATACCCAATCCAGCCCGGATCAAAAGCTTCTATCTAGGCATAAATGGAATTCCAGCCTTCTTTTGTCTTTCTAGAGTTGATTTTTTGTTGTAGAGTTTTGTAAAAGCCAGTTTCGCCTGAAAATACTTCATTTTCTTACTATCTATTCTGGCCAGAACTACCAACATTATACTGTGAAAAATTATGAAGTCCTCACCAGTATGAGGCATGAAAATAACTTACTTGGCAGATATTCCTCACCCAAATTCACCATCGCTTGTTTAGAAATCAGTAACTTGGGGCGCAAGTTTTCTATTTTTAAAAAGTCTGCTAGGATTTATATTGCTAGGAGTGGCACGCTCGCACACTAAAGAAAGTTGACTTGTTGACCAGTCAATGGTTTTCAGGGCAATGAGGAACTTTACCCTTCCATCACAGGAGCAAACACAAAACAGGTGAACAATGCTCTGCCTTTTGCTTTATATATATATATATATATGTTTAAATATATATATAATTCGTTTTTAAAAAAAATTATAAAAATAGTTTTGAAATGCATCAATTTTTTTCAAAATAGCCTTTCTGGGACTTAAAAAAAAAAGATACTTAAAATATATCTAAAAATACCTCCAAATTTCTTCAAAAATTTTCACACTGATTTCATTCCACATTTCTTTAAATAATACATAATAGTGGAATGCATGAGTATTGTACCATAGTTCTTTTCAAAATAATAAAATATGAAAGGCCCTAAAATATAGTCATGCATGGATGGAGACGGAAAACTTTAGCCCTACATAATAATATTTTGGAGAGCTAAATTGTAGCCTTGCATTTGGCCTATAGCCCATGATCGAAGATTATATACTAACTATAAGAATAAAGAAAAACTCACATAGGTATATAACCTATGTGCCTGAAGAGGATGTCAAAGTACTTGAATGAAGGAGACTGTGACACCCCACGTTATGCTAGTGTGTGTTGAGGCCCCCAACGAAATAGCACTGTGTCTGAGTTGATACAGACTATATTAGTGACTATAGGGAGGCTCATTAGAAACTGGTCTAGCGACACGAGAACGTCATGCATTCATCTGAAGACAGGTGATAACTCGAATTGTACTATCGTGTCTTAAGTTCCACAATAGTAAAGTACTGGGTAGATCTAAGTTATATTAACGATCGTGTGCTTCAGTTCAGGGATCCTTTAAATAAGTTTTATTTATTATTTATTTTTTATCAATCCGTCAAATAAGTCTAGTTCTCTCAAATAACTTATTTGAGGGACACCCTTGTAGGGCCCATCATGCATTGTATTTCAATGATCCAAATGTCTAGGTTTAAGATATTAACTCAAAGATCATCTATGCAAAAAATCACTTAAATCCAAAACCATTGACCACTCAATTAAATGGTTGTTATTATAGCCTTTTCTTTTTTGAGAAAAGATTGTATTTTCATTAATTGCAAAAGAACCAGTACATGGGAATAAACTAACATGATAAAAAGTGGCCTTGTTAAAACCTCTCTAGAGAAAACAAATCCCCAAGGGAGGAAAGAGTACCACCCATGCTATTGACTAAACAGAAGAGTCGAACAACTTATGCAAAAACAGACAAATCTAGAACTCAACCATAAAAACACATCCCAACAACACTATGCTTATACTGTCAAAGTATGCCTCCTATAATTTAGAGAATGCATCATAATTCTTCGTACAAAGACAAAACATACTATGGAGGTGAAAACAGGTCTAGCCAACCACCAACCAAAAAGCCATTGAAGCACATCCCATCGGTACACAAATACTGTAAAAGAAAGGCCACTTATGATCTAAAGAAGCATCATAGTTCTTTGTACAGAGGCAAAATACCGTGTTCGTGTATTTTGTTGGTTCCAACTAGATGCCTTAATAATTTTTTATTTGCCTGATTTTTTGTAATGATAATCTATGAATGAAGACTTGAAAAATAGACAGTATGTATTGTTAAAAAAAAAATCGTAGAGGAACCTAAAGGGTATCTCTCAATAAAAAGGGACTATATATATGTACACACACAACTAGTCCTTTTATGATACATCCCTAACGTAGCAGCCATTTTCCTAGGTCTTGATGAGGACCCATTTTGCCCTTACAAATTATTTTCTGGTCTAGCATTTTTATTTCCAATATTGAAAAGGGTCTCAAGTTTGAATCATATTCACCTAAGTTTCTAAAGAATTGCCTGCATTTGTTTTCTATATATTTGAAATCTATGATCAATTAAGTTTTCCATTCTAATTCGGAGGTATCAAGAAGAACTCCAAAATATGGGGTAAAGCATAAAATAGAAAGAAAAAAAAAAGTATTTTCATACGGGTTTGTTGTTTGAGTTTTTAGTTTTTGGAAATGACTGGTTTTTATGAAAGATGCTTTCTGCCCAATTACAGGTTCTGGTTTGCTTAAAGTTCTAAAATTTGAGAAAACTAGCAATGCATAAAATTTTGAGGAAAAAAGAATTTCTTTAGACACAACAAGATTGAGGGGGCATGAGCAAATTTTGGGAGTTCAAAGACAACAATTCAAGATGAAATTGCTGAAGTAGAAGGAAAACTTAGCATTACTCTTTTGATAACCAAATTTTCACCAACATTTTCAACTTAAAAATTCTGCTCCAAACAACTAACAAACTTAATAAAAGGTAGAAGGTGACACCACAATAGGACTTCTAACTTTGTGTTCTCTGTTCTCATCAACCCAAATAAGTTCTCCATATGCAACTTTGTTGTGCTTACTCCCCTTAGATTCTCAAGGTTACATTGTATAATAGCCTCTCATTTTCTCTTCTAAACACTAAAACTAGGCTTAATTATCAATGTGCCCCTATGCTTTATTTCGCTTCCCCCTTTCCCAAATTCCTTCAATTTGGTTAGTAAAATCATTAACTTGCTGACATGACATGGACATTTTCATAATTTTATGTATTTAAATATTTAAATGTAAAATTAAATTTAAATTTTTAAATTTTTTTTTAAAAATAATTAACCAAAAACTTACCCAAGAAAAAATAAAACCAACAGCCCATCCTCCCTCTCCCAAACCACCCCACAATAGCTACCTTTCCCCCCTCGCCTTCTCCCCAATCATCCAGTCGTAGCCACATTTCGCCTTTCTCCCTCTCCACCCCTGCAACCCCTCCTTTCGCCTCTCCCTAACTCACTAGTTAAAGAGATCAAGTTCAGATTTGGTTGATAACAAATGACTAGGGTCGAACTGGTTGATTCATTGATTTTTAAATAAAAAGAATTGGTTGGGTTTTAAAAAGAAATTAAAAAGATTTTAATTATTTTTATATTTAGTTTGAAATTTAAATAATTTAATAGATAAAATTACTAAAATATCCATGCCATGTCAGCAAGTTAACGGTTTTGATAATAAATTGATGGAATGTGGGAATAGGGGACGCAAAAGTAAAGCACATGGGAAATAGTGGCCCAATTTAAAATGTAGAGGGCAGAGTGAGATTTTCGGTAAAACATAGAGGGCACATCAATAATTAGCATCGTTACATTCTACCTTGTAATTGGGGAGTTACATCAAAAATCAAACCAAGATCAAGCGCTTTATTTGGATTAATGGATCCTGACCCTATGGCTAAGGGTTAGCCGGTTTATAGTTTGTATCAGCAATAATTCGTCTATAAATGTTATATATGTGTGTGCAGTCGTCATAGAAGCAGACCTTATAGCAGCATGACTCCATTATAGATGTGCAACTTTTAGAAGAGCAGTTTTGCCGATTACATGGGCAAAAGCAGGGGATGTTCCCGAAAGTATATAGTAGTCACTATACAAAGACAAATTTGATGTCCAAAATTGGATGCACCTTAAGGGATGTTGCCTTAAGGGGCTTTCAGCAGGTGGAGGTGAATCTGTAAGACAAGCAAATGATCGGTGAGCATCTAGGCACAAGTGTGGTACGGACCCAAAAGTCTTTAATGCTTATGTCAGCTGCCTATCGAGTCTAGAGAAATTTTTGCAGAGTAGAGGTAGACTCGAGAATTCGTTACCTGGGGGTATGGGGGTGACGAAAATTCTACCATGCGCTATGGGCCATTGGATGAGCTGTTGTGGGATGTGGGGTAATCTACACCTTTGATAGTGAGTGACCGGTTAAATGGGTTGCTCCAGGTAAAAAGAAAAGAAAAAGAAAAAGAGAAATCTGAAAAGAAAGAAGGCTCTTCTGCGACTAGTATTTCTTCTTCTTCTTCTTGGCAGGATCAGTCTTTTTTCCATGGTTGCTCTCTCTTCTTCAGTTGGGTTTGTTAAGATGAAGGTTTGATTATTCAAGAATAGAAGAAAGGAAGGGAAGAGAGAGAGAATAGCCGACGTCAAGTTTTGCAGAGCTGAGAACGGTGGTTTCTGGCCACCACCTGGGTACGAAATTGTTCACCCGTTCTTCCTCTTCTCTCTCGGCAGCTGGCTCTTTCTCTCAATACCTGGCTCTATCTCTTCGCTGGCTAGCTCGGTCTCGTGCTTTCTCTCCATCCCCTCCCTCATCTTCTCTTCCACCATTCTACAGATAACAATTGTCATTCTATTAGTATTATGTTCTACAATTTTTGATTTTGGGTTAAATTATTTGGGCAAATTATTATCTTTTTGTATTTTTTTAATTTCTATATAAATAAGGGCATATTTTCTGAAATTGTTTTTTGGATTTTTCGTTAAAAGTGGAGTTTGTTCTTTTTTAATGAATTCTTTTTCCAATTATCTTTTCCATCCTAAGTTCATATTCACTAGTGTGCAATGCACTGGTGTTTTCATATTTTGTTGAGTTGTATTCCTATCGATTATAGCCTTGTTATTTCTAGAAATAGCATTGTGATGTTCAATACAGATTTTCTTTTGATGAAAGAGTTGCGTCTTTTGTTTTCTAAAGGCTATGCGTAGTGGCAGTTAAGCCTCTTAGAGCATCTCCAGCGCAAAGCCCAGCCCGGGGGAAAGGCTGCCAGAGGGAGCCCGAGGCAGCTCCATCGCAGGGCCCGTAGCCCGGTTTGGTGGTGGGTCCCACGTGCCCGAGCAAGCCCAAGGGCAAGTCTTGCCCGGGTTGAAGCCCGAGTTGGCTGACTTCAGCGCACAGTAAAACATTTTATTTTTTTTCAAAAAAATTCGAAAAAATTCTGAAAAATTCTGAATTTTTTTTTTAAATACCAAAAAATTCTGTATTTTTTCCCTATAAATACCTAACCATTTTATTCACTTTCTACACCAAATCTTCATAAAAACTCATCTCCTTCCAATATTTTTCACTTTCCACATCAAAATGGCTTGAGAGGAAAGGTAAAAAAAAAAATAAATTTATTCAATTTAATGTCTTTTTTATTTTTTTTTTTTTTTTATGCATATTCCAATTTCTTTTTTTTTAATAGATTAGTCAAGGCAAAACCAAAAATGTTATTCGAAAAATTTTATCCAAAAATTTTATTTGAAAATTTTATTCGAAAAATGTTATCTTAAATTTTAAATGAAAATTTTATAATAAATAGTGACACGTGACAATCGAAAATATAATCTAAAAAGCTTATCAAAATTAATAGTTTAAAGTATAAACAAATAGGAAATAAAGTACAATGAATAGTAATTGCCTTAGACTTGCCCTAGATGTCAATCCAGCAATCAAAGCCATTATTTCCTCCACTGATGAATCTCTAAATGATGCTGATTGATATCATGATCTCCAATTGATTTTCTACGGTTAATAGCCTTTTGTATTTACCAAAATAGTTCCATCAAAAGTCAACTGTATTCTATATATATATTGTACAATTGTATCCGAATATTAATCAACAATCACATTCTTTACATGGTATCAGCCCTTCTCTCCTTCAAACGAAGTCACCTCTTTTCTTTGATCCTCCATGGCCGCCACCATCAACTCATCCTCCTCTCCCTCCCCTTTGGGCCCAAACACTACCCATTTCATCAAACTTTCTGAATCCAACTACTTGCTTTGGCTTCGCCAAATCAAGCCTTTCCTTGTCGGCCATGACCTGTGGCAATATATTGATGGGTCTAATCCTCCCCCTGCTGCTACCACAACCACCACCTCCTCCAACCCCACTCCTGCTGCCACCGACACCACCATCTCCTCTGACCCTCCTAATTCCTCTTCTGTTACAGCCACCACTCGCACTCAACCCAATCCTGCTTTCCTTGTCTGGTACAAACAGGACCAGCTTATCGTTAGTTACCTCACCTCTACACTTTCCGAACCAGTTCTCGCCCTCACTGTCGGTTACGACACTTCCAAAGAAATCTGGGATTGTTTGCAAACTCACTTTGCCCAAAAGTCCATTGCTAGTGCTGCCAATCTTCGCTTCCAACTCCTTGATATGACAAAAGGCACCAAATCCGTTGACCAATACCTCAACCAGGCCAAATCTCTTGCTGACTCCCTTGCCTCCATCAACCAACCTGTCTCCAACGATGATTTGGTCACTGCCATTCTTCGTGGCTTGGGTCCCGACTATGCTATGCTTATTACTGCCATCCTTAATTTCCCTCCGCTGCCCAATTTCACTGAGTTACGCTCTCGGCTTCTCTCGTTTGAGACCCATGCCCCACGGTCTTCCTCTGACCCTGCTGCCCAGAGTACTGCCCTAATGGCAGCCCAGTCATCCGGGCCACCTCGTGGTGGAGCTGGCCTCTACCAAACCTCTCATGTCTCCCGCGGCAATGGTGGTAATGGCCGCAATGGCCGCAATGGTGGCTGGAACCGCAATAGCTCCCGTCGTGGTGATCGTTGGAATGCATCCTCCCCTCAATCCTCCTCTTGGCAGACAACTAGTTGGGCTCCCTGGACTGGGCCTCCACAACCCTCACCTGGTCGTGGCTTTAGCTCACGGCCCCCTTGGGCTAGCCAGGGTGTGTTGGGCCCTCCTCCTTCCAATTGGTGTCCCACCTGCTCTACTACTCAACACACTGCTGCTGCTTGCCCCCATCGCTACAATGGGCCTGACTCATTTCCATCCTTTGCTGGCTCCCACACCATTCACCCGCCTGACAACACATGGTACCCTGATACCGGAGCAACCCACCACATGACTGGCAATGGCAATTCTCTCTCCAATCCCCAATCCTACAATGGTAATAATTCCGTCCTCTTGGGTAATGGAGACTCCCTTCCCATCTCTCATACTGGTAACATACCCATCTCTTTGGGGACTTCTAAACTCAACCTTAGAGATGTCTTCCTTGTTCCTGCTCTTGACAAAAATCTTATGTCTGTTGCTCGTTTTACACATGATAACTCTGTCTTCTTCGTTTTTGCACCAAATTTCTACCAAATTTATGACTTACATACTGCCACCTTCTTTTTCAGGGCCCCTGTAAGGATGGTCTATACCCAATGTCCTTCCCTTCTATCCCTTCTACTCCTCGTGCTCTCGCTGCTGTCTCGTCTTCAGTGTGGCATAATCGTCTTGGTCATCCCTCATCTTCAGTACTATCTAAATTAAGCCCCTCTTTAGGCTCTACTTTTTCTTCGCATTCTAAATTTTGTAAGGGTTGTGCTCTTGGTAAATCAACCCAATTGCCTTTTTCTATCAATAAAAATTCTGCCCCATCTTTATTTTACTTAATTCACTCTGATGTGTGGATGTCTCCTGTTACTTCTGTTACCGGTTTTCGTTACTATGTGCTCTTCACTGATGAATATTCCCGCTACTCATGGATTTATCCCATGCGTCGTAAATCCGAAGTATTTTCTCATTTTCAAAAATTTGTGGCTATGGTTAAAAACATATTTGGGACTTCTGTCAAATATCTCCAAAGTGATAATGGTACGGAATACGTTAATACTTCTTTCACCACTTTCTGTAATTCCCTTGGTATCCAACAAAGATTTTCTTGTCCCCACACCCCTCAGCAAAACGGTCTTGCTGAACGCAAACATCGCCACATTGCCACCATGACCCGTATTCTCCTAAACACTTCTCACATGCCTCTCAATCTTTGGGTCGAAGCTGCTCTAACCTCCGTTCATCTTATTAATCTCCTTCCTACTCCTATCTTAAACTGGTCTACCCCTTACTCTGTTCTCTTCTCCAAACCTCCAACTTATTCTCATCTCCGTGTCTTTGGGTGTTCTTGTTTTCCTTTTCTTGGTCCTTATGTTAATCACAAGTTATTGAGTCGTTCCTTGGAATGTGTTTTCATTGGCTATAGCCTCCATCACAAGGGTTATCGTTGCCTTGACCCATCCACAGGCCGTGTCTACACATCTAGGCATGTTATTTTTAATGAAGATTGTTTTCCTTTTACTCAGTTGCAGGTATCTTCCTCATCCCCTTATGTGGCGCTCGACCTTTCTCCACTTCCTACTGTACCGCTACCTCCACCACCCGTGGCCCACTTGCCCATTGATCCCGTGCAACCCCCACCTCTTGATCCGGTTTCTCCAGGCCCAACTACCCAACCCACCCCCGTGGGCCCTAATTCCTCTACAGCCCAGTCAGCCCCCGCTGACTCTACCTCCCAGTCAGCCTGTGTTGATGCACCTGCATCCCAGTCCGTCCTTATTGACTCTATAACCCATGCGGAACATGTGTCTACCTCAGCCCCCATGGGTCCTATTGATCTCGCAGACCCCGCACCCTGTTCTATTGCTGCATTGCCTGACTCCCATGTTGCAATTGAGCCTATGCCTCTTGTCGCAGCCAACCAGCCAGCACCTCACCCGATGGTTACCCGATCCCGCACTGGCACACTCCATCCCAAAGTTCGCACTGATGGGACAGTTAGGTATCCTATTTCTCATGCTCTTTTAGCAGCTGTCACTGATCAGGAACCGACTTGTTTTTCTCAGGCTCAGAAACATGTTGAATGGCGCGATGCCATGACTGAAGAAATAAATGCTCTACTTAAGAATAATACTTGGACTCTTGTTCCGTCTACCTCATCTCAAAATATGGTCGGCTGTAAGTGGGTCTTTCGGATCAAACGTACTTCTGATGGTTGTATTGAGCGCTACAAAGCCCGTCTTGTTGCCAAGGGTTTTCATCAACAGCCGGGTATCGACTACGCTGAAACCTTCAGCCCTGTTGTCAAACCTGCCACCATCCGCACAGTTCTTACTATTGCCATCTCTCGGGGTTGGTCTCTCCGCCAACTCGACGTCAAAAATGCATTCCTCCATGGCATTCTCCACGAAGATGTCTACATGGCTCAACCACCAGGTTTTGTTGACCCCACTCGCCCTAATTATGTTTGTAAGCTTCACAAGGCCTTATATGGCCTCAAGCAGGCACCCCGTGCATGGTTCCATCGCATAAGCTCATTTCTTCTTTCCTTCGGCTTCCAACACAGCCAATCTGACTCATCCCTTTTTATTTTTCGGCATGCCTCTTATGTCATATTTCTCTTGTTATATGTTGATGACATCGTGGTCACAGGAAATGATTCCAGGTTTCTTCACCACTTCATCACTGCATTGGGTCTTGCCTTTGATATTAAGGATCTTGGTCCGCTTAATTTCTTTCTGGGCCTCCAAGTTACAACCACATCGGATGGCCTTCATATCTCACAGCTGAAATATGCCCACGACCTACTGCAGCATCATGGCATGCTCCACTGCAAACCTGCCAACACTCCACTGGCCGCCAAAGTTCCCTTGTCTGCTTCCGACGGAGTGCCCCTGGAGTCTCCTTCTGACTATCGTGAGATTGTTGGCAGTCTTCAATACCTGACATTAACTCGCCCGGACTTATCCTTCGCGGTCAGCTCCGTTGCTCAGTTCATGGCTGCCCCTCGCACCTCTCACCTTGTTGCTGCCAAGCGGATCTTACGGTATGTCAAAGGCACGCTCGACTTTGGTCTCTCTCTTAGCCCGCAACCTTCCACTGCTCGCCTCAGTGCCTACTCTGATGCAGATTGGGCTGGCTGTCCAGATTCACGTCGGTCTACCAGTGGCTACCTCATCTACTTGGGCTCCAATTTAATCTCATGGTGTTCCAAAAAGCAACCCACTGTTGCCCGTTCAAGTGCAGAATCCGAGTACCGCTCCCTTGCGCACTCATGTGCTGAGACTACCTGGCTCTCCTACCTCCTCTCCGAACTTGGTGTTTCTCTCCACTTTCCTATTCTCCTTCATTGTGACAACCTGAGTACGACATACATGGCCGCAAACCCGGTCTTTCATGCTCGGACGCGTCATATCGAGCTTGACTACCATTTTGTGCGTGAAAAAGTAGCTCTTGGAAGCCACCAAGTTCGATATATTCCCTCTATTGATCAGCCAGCTGATCTTCTTACGAAGGCTCTCCACAAGCCACGTCATGCTCTCTTAAGATCCAAACTTGTCCAACCAGGGCTGTCCAGTTTGCGGGGGGGTGTCAATCCAGCAATCAAAGCCATTATTTCCTCCACTGATGAATCTCTAAATGATGCTGATTGATATCATGATCTCCAATTGATTTTCTACGGTTAATAGCCTTTTGTATTTACCAAAATAGTTCCATCAAAAGTCAACTGTATTCTATATATATATTGTACAATTGTATCCGAATATTAATCAACAATCACATTCTTTACACTAGACTTTGCCCTCATAGGTGGAACCACAAATGCAAAGGCTGACACTATTCACGTGAATAGTGGCAGCCCTTGCTTGCTCTTGCCTTAGACTTAGCCCTTGTGGGTGGAGATGCTCTTACCTTCATTGTGCAAAATCTTAAGCATAGAATGCAACAGAGTCAACTTAGCTGCAGCTTTTATTGTTATAGTTGAACATGAAAGCACAAAATATTTGCCAATATAGGATTCAAGAGAGAGACAATTATGGATAAATAATATTCATTCATGTATTGGTAAAAAAATTACATATTTCTTTCAATCTCAGTCATTGGTTGCATTCTCTGTTATGTCAAAGGTCTTATATTATATATAAAAAAGGATTTTGCAACTATGACCTATAAGATTTTGCATTCTCTGTCATGTCAAATTTGATTTATATTGGGTTCTATTTCTATAGTTTTTGGCATGATTCTTACTATTTTTTCTTTATTAGTTTTGTATTTTTCTCAGGCCTTTCACTTGTGAAGTATGGGGAAGAAACCCTCGACCAAGAAGTCAACTTTCCAGAAATGCTGGGAAGGCAAAGTTGTAACTACTCGGGTTACGCCAAACAAGGCGGCAAGGGGAAAAAAACAACCGATCCATTGTAACCATTGAGCGGGAGGAAAGTTCCACACCATACCAGAAAACCCATGTGGATCACCCTTTGTTTGGCGTGAGGCGATATATACACAAGAACCACAACTCATATGATCCCATGCTACATGTCAATGTCACTGACCATTTATCTCACAAGGTACATATCCAATTGCATTTCAAGTTTGCGCAATTGTATTTCACATAGTTTGCCCTGTTCTAGATAGATGTAGTCTTATGCTATATTAATTTTTTTGATGGCAATGCAATGTTCACCATAGAATTTTGCATATGCTGCTCTTCAATAAGGAATATCATATCTGGAAGTAGTATAACACTCGCCTTTTATTTTATTTTATTTTTCCTTTGTTTAGTTTTTTTCTTTTAGGCTACTTGCTTAAGAAAACTGTGTGTAAATTGTGCGCTTGAAAATCTAATACAACATTGCTTCAAAAAAATCTGATAGAGCAGTACTTTAAGACACTCATTTTATGTCTTTACTATCTTCTCAGCTCTTCGTCATTTAAAAAAAACATCTTCTCAGCTCTTCTTCATTACTCCTCTAGTTTGTCACTAACATCCTCTCTTAGATCATATGGCTGGTCACATCCTTTCCTAAAACAAATAGAAGCTGCTAAACAGTTTTATAACGTTATGCTATGACGTTATGTACCATAGAGTTGTATTTTGAGATTAGTGTATGCATATTGCCATGTTATTGACACCCTTTTCAATTTTAGAATGTAAATAAAATATGTGATTTGTTAATGCAATTGATAAACAGGTAATGCCATTTGCATTACAGTCGTGCAATTGACAAACAAAGCAGTTCCATTTGCATTCCAGTTACACAATTGCCATTATCCACATATGCTACTAACATACACACGATTTTTACAAATCCATGATTTATATTGTTGTTATTATGACCAAAAAATAAAAAATAATAATTCATGCTTTATATTGACAAATATTTGAATGAAAATACGGATCGACATAAATAAAGTTATGAAGCATTATATTTTCACACGCTAAGTATTATGCCATTGTGAATTCATAAGCATGCCATCGTGAGTCACATCAAGTTGCATATTTTGCTTTCGCTCAGCCACGTCAAGTTTGTAATTGATGAACAGACACCACGTAATTGTCATTCCAATTTGTGAAAACCAACTACCTGATTGGAAATTGCCAAACGACCTATGTCAAAGGTAAATTAGGCTATTGAAACATTATGTGTTAGGGTAAACCTCAAAGTTGTAAATTGTAATAAAGATGTGAAATCTCTTAAATGAGAGCCAAAATCTTGTAATCTACAAGATTATGGATACAATTTACAAGTTTATGGAATCTTCATTTCCAAAATAGTGTAACATGAGTCCTTAATGTTGTAAACCCATGTTTTTATACGAATAAGGAACACTTTTACTTGCTCAAGGTCCAACATTACCTTAATATTGTAATTGAGATCCTTCTCATTGTAATTTAGGCCATTACAATATTATGGATTAAATTGAACCTTAATGTTGTAATCACCATGCGAAATCTCTTGGAACCCAAATCTTGTAACCTACAAGATTAGGGATATACTTTACAATATTATGGAACGCTTGTGTCTCAAACACTGTAAAATGAGTCTTTAATGTTGTAAACCCCTGTTTTTACAAGATTAGAGATCAACTTTATAATATTATAGAACTCTCATGTCCCAAACACTGTAACATGATTCCTTAATGCTGTAAACATATGATTTACAATATTATGGATTGGGTGAACCCTAACATTGTAATCCAAGAGCAAAACCTAGTAAATTGTTACAAAAAACTTGTAAGTTACGAGTTTAGGGATTCTCTTTATGATGTTATGGTACCCTCAATCCTTAATCTTGTAAAGCATTGTTTACTAGAATAATGACCCATTTTACATCGCTAAGGTCCACCATTACCAATTCCTTGTAACATGGATCCATAACCTTGTAAAATGGCGATTTACAACATTATGGATTTGGTAAACCCTAACGTTGTAATCCATGAGCAAAACCTTATAAATTGTTACCAAAAACTTGTAAGTTACGAGTTTATAGATTCTCTTTACGACGTTATGATACCCTCAATCTTTAATCTTGTAAAACATTTTTTACTAGAATAATGACCTATTTTACATCGCTAAGGTCCATTATTACCGATTCCTTGTAACGTGGATCCATAACCTTGTAAAATGGTGATTTACAACATTATGCATTTGGTGAACTCTAATGTTGTAATCCAGGAGCAAAGCCTTATAAATTGTTACCAAAAACTTGTAAGTTACTAGTTTAGGGATTTTCTTTACGACGTTATGGTACCCTTAGTCCTTAATCTTATAAAGCATTTTTTACTAGAATAATGACCCATTTTACATCGCTAAGGTCTACCATTACCAATTCTTTGTAATGTGGATACATATCCTTGTAAACATATGATTTACAACATTATGGATTCAGTGAACTCTAACGTTGTAATCCAGGAGCAAAACCTTGTAAATTGTTACCAAAAACTTGTAAGTTACGAGTTTAGGGATTCTTTTACAACGTTTTAGTACCCTCGTATCCCAAAATTGTAAAATTGGCCCTTAATCCTGTAAACCCTCATTTTACTAGAATAAGGACCCCAATTTACATCCTCATGGTCTGGACATATCTATTTTTTGTAATTTGGATTCATATCCTTGTAAAATAAGGATTTACAACATTAAGGATTATGAGAACCCTAACGTTGTAATCGTGGTACAAAAACCTGTAAATCACTACCTAAATCGTGTAACTTACATGTTTATGAATCCATTTTACAACGTTTTGGTACCCTCGTATCCCAAAATTGTAAGATCAGCCCTTAATCTTGTAAACTCTTATTTTACTAGAATAAGGACTCAATTTACATCCTCCTGGTCCGGACTTACCTATTCTTTATAATTTTGATCCATATCCTTGTAAAATAAAGATTTACAACGTAAGGATTATGAGAATCCTAATGTTGTAATCATGGTGCAAAAACCTGTAAATCACTATACAAATTGTGTAACCTACATGTTTATGGATCCTCTTTACAACGTTATGGTACCCTTATATCCCAAAATTGTAAAATCGGCCCTTAATTTTCTTATTTTACTAGAATAATGACATAATTTACATTCTCATGGTCCGCACTTACCAATTCCTTGTAATGTGGATCCATATCCTTGTAAAATAAGGATTTACAACATTAAGGATGATAAGAACCCTAACTTTGTAATCGTGGTGCAAAAACCTGTAAATCACTACCCAAATCGTGTAACTTACATGTTTTTGGATCCTCATTACAAGGTTATGGTACCCTCGTATCCCAAAATTGTACAATCGGCCCTTAAACTTGTAAACCCTCATTTTACTAGAATAAGGACCCAATTTACATCCTCATGGTCCGGAGTTACCAATTTCTTGTAATATAGATCCATATCCTTGTAAATGGGGATTTACAACAGTATGGATTAGGTGAACTTTAATGTTGTAATCATGGTTCAAAAACTTGTAAATCGCTACCCAAATCTTGTAACTTATAAGTTTTGGGATCCTCTTACAATGTTATGGTACTCTCATATCCAAACTATTGTAATACCGGTCCTTAGTCTTATAAACCATCGTGTTTACTATAATAAGGACTCCATTTTATATCCTTAAAGTCCATATTTACCAATTCCTTGTAATGTTGATCTATGTCCTTATAAAATGGTGATTTACATGGGAAGCTAGGGGATTGGTAACTTTCTTCTCATTCATTACCCCATTTAGTATTTTATTATGTTACAATACATATATAAAAAAATTTAGTATTTTAGTTGAAATTAGACATATTACATGTAAATACTATATTTATGGGTGTATATTCTTATTAAACAATTTTTTTATGGATGGGAAATGAGAAACCTATATAACAAGGATATGAACCAAAAATCAAAGGAGGATAGAGAAATTTTTGTGGGTCATAGAAATAAGTTTGTAAAAGCATATTTTGAATATGCTATGAGTCATATTCAAGAAATAACATATAGTTTTAGTTTTAAGACATTTCTCTCAAATTATTTTAGAATTAGCTTGAATTCTAAAATTTCATACATGAGAAGCGAATGAGATGGTAACTCAATCACTTTCTTCCCCTTCATTACCTCATTTAGTAATTTTTTTTATGTTACATACTTATATAAAATTTCAAGTATTTTAGTTGAAATTGT